TACGTTTCTTTATTCTGTGATGGTTGCTTGGCAGGGCTGGTGCTACCATTTAGCAAAAGGAACAGATGCCCATAGGCGACATCAAGAGATCTGAGGTGAAAACTGTGTGTCATAATGCTTATGCGCACTGTTTAAGATAAACTATTGCCTTTCGTGTGTGGTGAGGATATGATCCCACTGGACATTCAGAAGGAAGATTCAATAACCAGTTCAGTAAGACTGTACGACTCCACCCGTGTAACTATGAGACAAACTTAAGAGCATAGTCGTGCCTCTTTCTACTATGAAATAACTGCACAAACACCTTGATGACAAAGATAATTGCCTAGAATTAACCATGACAGCATCTTCCTGCTTTGGGAACCAAGTCATCCCTCCCTTTGTGAAACTCCTATGGGGCTGGTGCGTGCTGTAGAAAAGAATAAAAAAATAATAGTTCCGGAGAAGGAAAAATATTGGTTAACTAATGTTTCCCCTTCCTTCATCTTCATAATTAATTAATACAGTAATAAGCTGAGGATGGTAATCTTATTACTGTATTAATTAATACTGTAAGCAATCTTGGACATATTTGCTCAGAAGCAAGCCATGCTAAATTCAGGAGGATTAATTGTTCAGTAAACCAGCTTATTTAAGATAAGAGCTGGTAAGAGGAAGTCAAAATCTTGGTTGTGACTAATAGTTATTGCTACAGTTATTGCTTTAAAAATAATGGACCAATTTGTTTACTTGATTGGTTCCAGTTTTCTTTTAATCAAATGCTTAGATCAAAAGTCTGCTCAATGACTGGATCAGTGCCTGGCTGGGGAATTCAGGTAGTTGAAGTCCACACTTTAAAAAGTTGACAAGGTGCAAAACAATGGACCGGATGAAGGATGTATTGTTTTCTATTGTAAAAGATGGAGAGATGGTGGTAAATCTTCTAAGGTATTAATACATCCCTCATTGTCATAAGAGACTTCATGATGCTGATTACACAGCAGTCTTTCATATAACTATGACCATTTCAGGTTACAGAGATGCTCCAGCCAAGCTTTATATTTTGCTTGGATTGCTACAGTGTCCTGTATTTGGATCTGCTCTTGAAGACCATTCAAAGACTCTCCTGGCCTTTCATAAGACCTTAAAGACACCAGTTTGCCACCAAGTGTGAGGATCTGGATGTGCAGCACAGCCCATACAGTGGTTATGTTGAATATAAATTGTCTTTTACTTGAATGTGAATTTTGGTAATTCGTTTATAGTGCCTGTATACATTTTTATGTGTTTATGATTGTATTAGGGGTTTTTAAAATATTTTTTTAAAAAATGGTTATAAATTACCCAGAGTCAGGTAGTTGGGTAGCTACATAAATCAAACTAATAAATAAATAAATACTTCAAAGGAATCAAAACAAAGTGAACAAAATATTTACAGGTATAGCCCATTTGTGAATATTGTATCAATTTTAAACTTCATTAATACTGAATTAAATTGTGCATTGTAGGCCCAATGCATGGAATTGATTCTTAATTTTCAAATAATAAATAAACAGCTTGGGTTACAAATACTTGACAGTGAATTATTATTATTTTCATATCAGTCTACCCATGCATTAAGATTTTCTGTTGCAGCCCTTCTCCTGAACAAGAGGTGTTTAGTTTAATAACACAGGAGTTTTAGCTATAAAGTGCTTTTATATGTAAGTTCACCAGCCAATTAAACAAAATCCCTTTTATTAAGGAACTGTTTCGGTTGACTTATTCTGCCCCTCATCTACGATATCACTGGTGCAGTGATAGAATTGCAGTGCAATTCTAAATTTTAAAAATGATTGTACATAACCATGTTGCAGAAGGGATAAAAAGAAGGCATACCTTCTTTTGAAATACCAGTTGAACTGACTGTAGCTACTAAGTAGTTCACACTACTACTAAAATTATATATGCATATTAAGTAGCAACTCAGACATAATCTTGAAAGCTACATGTACAAGATTGCAGTGGTGTTTTTCATACTTCATGCTTTTCCCTAATAGAGCAGGAGAGTCTCTGCGTATTTGGCATCTCATATATTTAATTCTTGGACTGATGCCTAGAATGAGAGCACAGCTTTTGTAGCACGACTCTATCACACACACACACACACTCCCCTTTTTCTCCCCTTCTCCACTCTACTGATTTTTTGGAAGAAAAGAACCACTGGGTCCATGCCATGTTGACGAGGTCCCTTTTAACCCTCTGTGGTCTCAGACAAAAAGTTACTGTTTATGGTCAACCCATGGCCAGTTTGATTATAGCATGATGGTTGTCTTTGCAATACAAGGCAACTCATGTGATTCATGAATCAGTCTTTGGAATTACATTTGCAACTGATCTTCTAAACTTTCTTTGTTTCTCACGTTAGTAATATGTAATAATCCTCCCTTAGCTGATTACAGCAATTTAAATTACAAGCTGTGATCCTCTGGTTTTGATCTTTACAGTATTAAATGGAAGTTCTCTCGTACCTAAACAAATCTACATATATGGATGCAGCCAACACTAATAAACGCAGAAATAGTATATACTTGAGTAGAGCCGCCTCTGTGAAATAACAGAATACAGAACAACAAAGTTGGAAGGGACCTTGGAGGTCTTCTAGTCCAACTCCCTGCTCAAGCAGGAGACATTATACCATTTCAGACAAATGGCTGTCCAGTCTCTTCTTAAAAACCTCCAGTGATAGAGCTCAACCAAAGATGGGCAATATAAAAGCTTAATAAAATTACAATGGCTAATGTTGACTTCAGGCAGTCAGTGGGAAAAAAGCAAAATTATGGAAACATGTCAGGAAAAAAACATTGCTGAGGAATATTTGTGCCCAGGTTAGAGGGCAAGGGGAGAAAGGCCCATTGAAGGCAAATGCTTTCTTAAATCTCTGCTATATAAATGAAAAGTGATGATATAAAAAGGGAAAGTCCCTTTTGCAAAGGAGTCAGGACAATGATATAATTTCTAAAAAAAGAAATCTGGAGAAGAGGGGAAAATAAGCTTTTCCATCTATTCCGTCAGCCATCTTGTCTCAGTACTGTACTGGTTTATGTTCTGTTTCATCAGCCATCTTGTACTCGGTTCAATACTGGTTTATGTACCGTAGAAGGAGGAATTGTACAGAAAAATAACACTCTTGACAATTATTTAACCTTTTAAAAATATGTAACAGTTTCCCTATCTCCAGTTTTCTTAGATTACAATTTCCATAATTCCCAGTGATTTGCATCTTTGAACAGTAGGAAAAATATAATGTGATTTAAGTAATGCAGCTGTGATGCTGGTTCCTTGTGGTATCTTATCGTCAGCTTAGGAGGGAAGTTCAAGGATCTGGAGAGGACATAGGGAATGGCCTTGAATGGACAGGTAGAAGAGTGGCTACCAAACCAGTGGTCAGATAAGCGAGGCTTGAGCCCAGCCAAGAAAACAATGTGAGAAAACATCTCAGAGGAGTCCCTCCTTAGTTTACATGAAGGTAAACTGAGGAACGGGGAAGCGCATTCAAGCATGCAAGATAGTTTCATAGTTTTTACAATCAAAATAGTCCTGACTTACGTGACATTAGTTTCTCTGATTCACCTTGTTGGGCTCACAGAATCTGCATTGTTTTCTTCTTAGTTCTCCTTCAGTTTATTTATTTACACATGTACAAGTAATCCCTTGATTTATGACCTTAATGGAGCTTATTCACCATGGTCGTAGGTTGTGACGGTCATCATGCAGCCATCCCAATTTTACAACCTTCTTTGTGGCAGTCATTAATCAAATATCACTGTCATTAAGCGAACCATTGTTTGGTAAACCATAATTTACCAAAAACTGGAAGTAAATGCTGGTTTCTAGCAAAATAATAAATTATCATCATGTGACTGCAGAACACTGCAAGTAATCATAAGTCTGGGATGGTTGCCAAGTACCCAAAACGCAGCCCAGTGACCGTGAGGGTCAGGGTCTGCTGGAACTTTAGAACCTGGTCATAAGTGCCTTTTATGGGGGGGGTGTCTGTTATGTATTGAATATATATAAAGTTGTGTTAATCCCTGCTAAAGTGAAACTAACTTAACTCTAACTGCTTGTGAAGCTAAAATGAAACTAACCTTTAGATCAGTGGTTCTCAACCTATGGGTCGGGACCCCATTTGGGGTCGATCGACCATTTCACGGGGGTCGCCAAGCAAGGCTGTCCGCCATTTTTTTCCCCTTTTCCGGGGGGTGCCTTACCTCCCTGGAGCTGGGCCAGCTGGTGGTCGGCCTGCTCCGTCTCTGCCGCTTGCCAGCTACGCCTCGGCCGGCGCAGGGGGCGGAACCACGCAGGCGTGGCGCTCCCGGGCAGGGAAAGTCCTCGACTTAGGACCGGTTGCTTAGTCCTCGACTTAGGACCGGTTTAGTCCTCGACTTAGGACCGGTTTAGTCCCCGACTTACGACAGGTTGGGGGTTGCGGCATTAAAAAGGTTGAGAACCAATGCTTTAGATGACCCTGACTGTTAACTCCAACTGTTTTGGAGGGAAACTTTGAACATTCATATTTGGGCACATTTTTCAAGTATTGTGATTGGTTAAGGCCCTGTGGGCTCAGAGTATAAATTACAAGCAATTGCCTGAAGATCTCCAGGTCTAGTTTGAGTCAATAAATAACGTTGTAACTATGCTGGTCTGCTCCTTGCCTACTGAAGCCCACTATACAATAGTGTCTGTGATGATTTCACTAAGTAATGGGTTGTAAGTTGAGGACCACCTTTATATCTTTGGATATGCTGCCTCCTCCATGAATAATAGCATTGAATTCTCTACCTAGAATAAAAGTAGCCTACTAACTAGGTGCAAGAGAAGGCATCCTGCATTATAATATGCACATGCTGTCCCTGTGCTATATTTTATGTTTTTTCTTCAGGGAAAATGGTTCTATTTGATTCTGTTACATATATACATTATTCTAAATATTTCTTCTTTATTTTACGTGTTTTGTGACCTTCTACTTTGTTTCTTAGGTACCCAGATGAGCTGTTTTTCTCCAAGTGCATTTTCTTGGCGTCAGGCTGCGTACGTGGATTCTTACTGCTGGGCTGCAGTTCAACAGAAGCAGCTGTCTCAAAGTGAATCAGGGCATCTTCCCCTGTGGCTTCATAAGGTTTGTATAACCACCTAATTCTCTGTTTCATTTTTTTCTCTCTTTTCCTTATTTTAAACCCAATTCTGAGAAGTCTAAGGCTACAAACATGTTCTATTCTGTGCTGGCTAGGGGATTCTGAGAGTGGAAGCTATCAAGCTTGAGAAACACTGCTCTATCATATATTAATTCCCTGTGAATGCATGTTACATTTTGCCCATATCTTTGATAAAATGAACCCTTTTAACTTACAAATGAGGTGGTTCAACTTTATTTTAAACATTTTTATTTATTTTGTGGCACATATAGGCTGCTGAGTCATAACTAACTATGAGTAGTGCACAATGCTCCCTCCTTAACAAAACAGAATTTTAAAACATTTTTAAAAATGGCAATATAAGGTTCTGCCAGTACTTCCAGTTCATTCCCTTTAAAACCAGCTCACTCCCATTAAAACTGTTTTCATAACTGGAGGGATAAACGCCTCTTTCAACCACCCAGGGTTATTTGAAGGCTATATAGACTTTCTAAATGCCAATGGGGAAGGAGACATAGGATCCTTGCTAGATTTTAGAACAGAGGTGGGGAACCATCGCCCTTTTATGACTTGTGGACTTCAACTCCCAGAATTCCTGAGCCAGCATCGCTGGCTCAGGAATTCTGGAAGTTGAAGTCCACAAGTCATAAAAGGGACATTGTTCCCAATCCCTACTTTAGAACATAGAATTGTAGGGCTGGAAGGAACTTCAGTGGTCTTCTAGTTCAGCCTCCTGCTCAAGGTATGAGACTGACTGACCCAGATTGGATCCTGCAGGAAACTTTATACCAACCCAGTCAAATGGTTGTCCAGTTTATTTTTGAAAGCCTCCAGTGATGTAGCACCCACCTCTCCAGGAGGCAAGCTATTCCATTGGTTAATTGTTCTCCTTGTCAGAAAAATTCTTAGTTCTAGGCTGGATCTCTCTTTAACAAGTTTTCACCCATTACTTCAAATCCTGTCCTCTGGTTCTTTGGAGAATGAGTCAATCCCCTCTTCTCTATGACAGCCCCCCAAGTATTGGAAGACAGTTATCATATCCACCCTAATCCTTCTCTTTGTTAAACTAGGCATACCTAGTTCCTTCAACCATTTATCATATGGTTTAGCCTCCAGGCCCTTGATCATCTTTATTGCTTTTCCATGCACGCTTTCTAGAGTATCAGTGTCTGTTTTGTATCATGCTGACCAGAACTGTATGCAGCATTCCAAATATGGCCTCACTAGTGCCCTTTAAAAATGATAGCTATCATATTGAATTGTACCTAGAAGCTGACCTATTAACCAGTATAGCTCCCAAAATAGCAGTGTTATGTGGTTGCAACAAGGAGTACCCATGATTACTTAGTCATCTGCATTTTAGATGGTAATCTTTTCTGAATGCTCTTCAAAGGTAGCCCCATGTAGAATGCATTGTAGCAGTCAAACCTAGAGGTGACTAAGGCACAAATGACTGTAAACAGAGCCTCCTGATCCAGAAGAAATTGCAGCTCTTTAAATATAAATATTTAAAGCCACTTTCCTGAACCACATCCAGTCAAGATTGCTGAGGAGCGTGAAACAAAAATTCAATGCAAACTAGAAGGAGAGAAGAAGGGAGTGCTATTTAACATCAGCTTTTGCAAGATAAAGATCTAACAAAATGTAAATCAGTATTAATGCTTACCTTGAAGGATGTTTATCTAGCACATTTTCCTGATGTAGCAGCTCTGGATGAATTAGACTGCAGCTCCCACAGCTTAATGTCTTTCTTGGAAATGAATTACATACACAGGATGCCAAGTTGCACAAGTGACAAGATTCCAAGTCCCTAACAAATGTGTACTTTGTAATACATATAGTATGTAATACATACTATAAGCTTAAACCCTAAAAACTAACCACATTATATTGACTTGATATTTACCTGTAGTTCTTGACTTATGACCGGTTGCTTAACAACCATTCAAAGTTATGATGGATCTCCCAAAATCTACTTACAACCCAGTTCCAATAGCTATCACCACCCCTGCCTCACAATCATATGGCTGCATTTTGGGTGCTCAGCAGTTGACCCATATTTATGGCTGTTTGCAGCATCCCACAGTCACATGGTCACAATTTATGATGTTTTGCCCCCAAACCAGCATTTTACGTGTGTTTTTGCAAAAACACCTTATACTAATGGTTTGTTTAATGACCACGGCATTTGCTTAATGACCCTGTGCTTGCTTAATGACCACAATGATTTGTTCAATGACCACTGCAAAAAAAGATTGTAAAATGGGGTTGGTCATGTGGGTTACCTGCTTTACAATTGTCATGACTTAGGACCATAATGGGCAGACTCCCTTTCAGTCAATGACTCCCGATAGTCCCAGAAACTGCCATTGTTTACATATGGGAGTGCAAAACCCAGAATTCTTAGCCGGGATGTCTACACCAAATCATGGTCTGTGCATACATTCCCACCTGTAAGATGTCAGAACGTTTGGAGTTTCTTGTGGTATCAGTCTGATCTGCTGGTTAATGACCGCAACAACATTACTTGAATTGTATCAGTCTGAATTTGAGTCCTGATTTAAGATTCATCCTCCTGATTTTCTCCTTCAGTTTTTCCCATACATCCTTCTGCTGCTTGCCATCTTGCTGTACCTGCCGTGGCTCTTTTGGCGTTTCACTGCAGCACCTCACCTTTCTTCGGATCTGAAATTTATCTTGGAAGAACTTGACAAGGCTTACAACAGAGCCATCAAAGCTGCCAACAGTTGCCGGAATTGTGATGCCAGAGATGCAGCCAGCTCACCACCTGCCATTGAAAATATTGCACAGAGGTAAACACATCTCTTTCTACTTCTCCAGGTTTTTTTCAGACTTACCTTCTTCACCCAACGTGTTCTCTTCTGCTGCTGGAGGATAAGCTTATGTATCACCACACAGCCTGGCTAGATTTTTGCTTCAAGGATGGTGAAGTTGCTGAATAGGTCTTGGACTAGGGAAGTAACGTTTTTTTTGGAAGAAATGGATAAAATTGGATATCCTGTATCATCTAGAACAGGGCTTTTCACCCTTTTCACCCATTGTACCACTTTTAGGATATGGCAACATCCGAGTACCACCAGTCGCCTAGCAAGGTGTCAAAAACCTGATGACCAAAAAAAAAAAAAGGAAAAAAGTGATAAAGTACAAGTAGTCCTCAACTTACAACAGTTCGCTTAGTGACTGTTCGAAGTTACAATGGCACTGAAAAAAGTGCCCCCCCAAGCCACACCCGAGCAAGACACCTGCCTGCCCACCCAGCGGTGCTCTTCCTCCTGTCTGAGGTTTTCATTGTTGTGAGCATTTCTGTTGAGGATTGGCAGCGGGGGGGGGGGGTGTTTGGTTTTTATTCCCCCCGTCTGCTGGGTGGTTGCAGCAGGTTTTGGTCACTTCACATGACCCTGGGACACTGTGACCGTCATAAATATCAATCAGTTGCCAAGCATCTGAATGTAAATCACAAGACCCTGGAGATGCTGCAACATTCCAGCTGATCGGCACTTCTTCTGGGCTCAGCAGAAGTGCCAGGATCAGTGCTGCTTTCCAGCTGATTGGTGCTTCTTCAGGGCTCAGCAGAAGCACCAGGATCAGCGACAAGCTCCAGCTGGAGCCTGGCGCTGATCCTGGCACTTCCACTGAGCCCTGACAGCCCTGAAGAAGCGCCGATCAGCTGGAAAGCGGTACTGATCCTGGCATGCAGCTCCAGCCATCTCTCGCTCAGGCTTGTGCGGTGCTGCCACCGGTTCAGCTCATTCCCCTCCCCCGCTACCACTTTTCTAGGATGGTCACGTACCACCTGCCAGGTGCCAATGTACCACAGGTGGTACCCGTACCACTGGTTGAAAAGCCCTGATCTAGAATAGCGTTTGCTGGGATATTCTAGGAGTTGAAGTCCACACCTCTTAAAATGGCTAAAGTTGGGAAACACTGATCTAGAAGCTTTGTGTCTGACTCCATCATGGCTCTCTTGAGTGGCACCTCTCCTGTGTGCCACCACCTCAAAGACCACGTTGAACTGTCATAAAGATGGGAAATGAGGAGCCATCCCTTTATACCCCGTTCAGAACAGCCGGGAGAGGGTGGATCAAAGTTTTCAGTGTTGATGGTGGTTTGTTCTCCAGATTTGCTGTTTAGCTTCCAAATGTTTCGTCACCAGGCTAGGTGTCCTCCTCCTCAGTGGGACTTCATTTGAAGTGTCTTTTTTTCCAGTTCTTCTTTTATTGATTTCTTGTGGTCATGTGGTAGTTTTCAGTCTGTTTTTAAGATTGTTGGTGGACTTTTAGGGATTTCAAGGAGAAAACAAGTCCCTTGAGTTTTACGAAGGGCCTTTGTACCTGTTGTTCCCATTAGCCTCTTCTCCCAAATCAAGCAAAATTTCCTTGTGGCTTCAGGCCTTTTGGTTGCTACTTTAAACCCTATAATTGCCCCCTCCCCATGTTAAGCCTGCCCACTCTGAAGATGTCACCAGCCTTGCCACTTGTGGTCCTTAAAACAAAACAAAAACTCCACCACACTCCCTTTTTAAGGAAGTCCAACTTTTTGGCCACAACAAACTGGCCCCTCTGCCCTAGAAAGGAAGTGGACATCAGTTCATAGATTTTGGCATTCAGCATGTTATTTTAGATACAAAATAGAAAACTTAGAGCAGTGTTTCTCAACTTTGGCAAGTTTAAGTTGGGTGGACGTCAGCGTGGCTGGGTGGGAGCTGAAGTCCATCCATCTTAAGCTTGCCAAGGTTGAGAAACACCGCCTCACTGTGATTTCTGTGCATTTACCTCAGTTAATTCCCTAATGGGCAATGGTTGTTTATTGTGCATCGTATGAATATTCACGTTTAATCTTCCTTTTCAAAACACCCCTCCCTGTTCATTTGGAGGATGTCCATAGGTGAAGATAAGAAGGAGTGGTTAATGTTCTGTCACTTAATCAAATTAAACCCAAGGCAGCTTACGGCAGAATGTTAACTATTTCTGAGTAGTCCTCATTATAAGCACTCTCTTATAAAAAGTGTAAGCCATCATAATGAGTTGGAATTTCAGATGGCGCAAAACTCTGTTGGGTGTGCCAGGGCAGATTCACACAGATTAAACATATTTGTTTATCCGGAGGTTCAGTTAAACCAGGGGTAGGCAACCTTGGCTCTTTTATGACTCGTGGACTTCAACTCCCAGAATTCCTGAGCCAGCCTGGCTCAGCTTGGAAACCTCTCCCTTTCCCCTCAGCATGGCTGGCTCAGGAATTCTGGGAGTTGAAGTCCACGAGTCATAAAAGAGCCAAGGTTGCCTACCCCTGAGTTAAACTGATGTTGCTGTGTCTTTTGATTTGAAACCAGTCCTGTACTCTACAGGTAGTCCTCAACTTAGGACCGCAATTGAGTGACCACAGAGTGAATCTGGCTTCCCCGTTGATTTTGTCTGTCAGAAGGCCACATAAGGTGGTCACACAACCCTGGGAAACTGCAACCATCATAAATGCATGCCAGTTGCAAGCATCTGAATTTTGACCACGTGACCAGGGGGAAACTGTAATAGTCGGAAATGTGAAAAATGGTCATAAATCACTTTTTTCAGTGCCGATGTAATTTTGAACTAAATGAATAGTTGTAAGTCAGGGACTACCTTTGCAATAGTTCTAAAGCTTTATGAGTACAGAAGCATTCTTCTGAGCATTTTCTTTTACATTAAATTACAGATAGTCCTCAAAGTTACAACCTATCTGAAAAAGGGGAGTTATCGCCCAATTCCAAAGTTCCAAGAGTTGGGCCCACCCACAATCACAATCGCTTTTGGGGCACTCGGCAACACGAACACATTTACAGCTGTTTGTTGTATTTCAGTCACAGGATCTCTAATAATAGAGTTGGAAGGGACCTCAGAGGTAATAATAATAATAATAATAATAATAATAATAATAATAATAATAATAATAATAATAATAATATAATAATAATAATAATAATAATAATAATAATAATAAGGAGGAGGAGGAGGAGGAGGAGGGATCTTGGAGGTCATCTAGTCCAACCCCCTGCTCAGGCAGGAAACCCTATACCATTTCAGACAAATGGTTGTCCAGTCTCTTCTTAAAAACTTCCAGTGTTGGAGCATTCACCGCTTCTGGAGGCAGGTTGTTCCACTGGTTAATTGTTCTAACTGTCAGGAAGTTTCTCCTTAGTTCTAAGTTGCTTCTCTCCTTGATTAGTTTCCATCCGTTGCTTCTTGTCCTGCCTTCAGGCGCTTTGGAGAATAGCTTGACTCCCTCTTTGTGGCAGCCCCTGAGATATTGGAACACTGCTATCAGTCCAACCCCCTACACGAGCAGGAGACCATATATAATCTCAGACAAATGGTTGTCCAGACTCTTTTTGAAAGCCTTCAGTGGTGGAGCACCCACAACTTCTGAAGGCAAGTTATTCTCACTGTTAGGAAATTTCTCCTTAATTCCAGATTGCTTCTCTCCTTGGTTAGATTCCAACCATTGCTTCTTGTCTTGCCTTCTGGTGCTTTGAAAAATAGCGTGACCCCCTCATCTTTGTAGGAGCTCCTCAAATATTGGAACAGTGCTATCATGTCCCCCCCCCATTTCTTCTTTTCATTAGACTAGACAAACCCAATTCCTGTAACCGTTCTTCATCCATTTTAGCCTCCAGCCCCCTAATAATTTATTGTTGCTCTTCTCTGCACTCTTTCCAAAGTCTCAACATCTTTTTTGTATTGTGGTGTTCAAAACCATGCCATAGTGAACAGTGGGTTCACTTAACTGCCACGGCATTCATTTAACGACTGCCGTATTCGTTTTATGAGTACTGCAAAAAGGACATAAAATCAGGTTAGTCCCATGACCAACCCATTTTATAACCATTGCAGCATATAGCCATAATGGGCAAAGTTCATTACGGTCATATGTCGAGGCTTACCTATATTGTTTTAATCGTGTTTAAATTTTGGAGAATTGCCAATTATTCCCAACTTTTAATTTATTTTCAAATGTTGAAAAATCCATTGAAACAGGAGGGAGAAGAAAACTGGTACCTGGGGATGTTGAAGTATTGGGTACTAAGTAATTTCTAAAGCAAGTGAAACCCTGATATAACATTCCTGGAAATTGGCTCTTTTGTTTTCCAGTTTATGGGAGATCTCTGACAGCCACTTTAAGTACCCTATTGTGGAACAATATCTGAAGACAAAGAAGGGCTCCAAGAGCTTAATCATCAAATACATTATTTGCCGTTTGCTAACTTTGATCATTATCCTCTTTGCTTGCCTCTTCCTGGGCTATTATATCAGCCTTTCTTCCTTGACCGATGAGTTTATTTGCAACGTCAAAACTGGGATACTAAAAAATGACACGAACATTCCGGAACGGTTTCAGTGCAAAATGGTTGCCGTTGGTGTCTTCCAGCTGCTGAGTTACATCAATTTCATCGTGTACGTGCTGATCACACCGCTGGTGATCTACGCCTTCTTTGTCCCTCTCAGGCAGAGCTCGGACATCCTGCAGGTCTACGAGCTTCTGCCGACATTTGATGTTCTCAAAGTCAAAGCAAAGCACTACAACGACATGAGCCTCTACCTGCTTTTTCTCGAGGAAAATGTGAGTGAGCTGAAATCTTACAAGTGCCTCAAAGTTCTGGAGAGCCTCAAAGGCAGCGGGGAGAGGTTTGATGCCATGCAGCTCCTCAGGAACCTTGGCTCGATTAAAATGGACGCCGTGGATGCCAAACCAAACACCCCCCACAAGAATAGAAAAAAAGCTGAAGTGGAAATGTCAAATGATGCAGCAGAATTAAAAGGTAACATTATCTCCCTTTGTGTTTATTTTTTTTTCTTTGTTTAGGTAGGTCAGTGATGGCGTGCCTATGACACACATTGCTTTGGTGACACGCCAGCAATAACCAACACCTGAGGCCTAATGCTGCTGTTCAGGGTGGCTTAGATTGGGGAGAGGAGTTAGAGCAGTGGTTCTCAACCTGTGGGTCGGGACCCCATTTGGGGTCGATCGACCATTTCACAGGGGTCGCCAAGCAAGGCTGTCCGCCATTTTTTTTGTCCGCTATTTTTTTCCCCTTTTCCGGCGGGTGCCTTACCTCCCTTGGGCTGGGCCAGCTGGTGGTCGGCCTGCTCTGTCTCTGCCACTTGCCAGCTATGCCTCGGCCGGCGCAGGGGGCGGAACCACGCATGTGCGGCGCTCCCGGGCAGGGAAAGTCCTCGACTTACGACCGGTTGGGTAGTCCTCGACTTACGACCGGTTTAGTCCTCGACTTACGACCGGTTTAGTCCTTGACTTACGTCCGGTTGGGGTCGCGGCATTAAAAAGGTTGAGAACCACTGAGTTAGAGAATTGTTTCTCTTTTGCTTCTGGGGAGGGATGAGATGCCAGCAGGGCTCTTCAAACTTGGCCCTTTTATGACTTGTGGACGCTGGCTGAGGAATTCTGGGAGTTGAAGTCCACAAGTCATAAAAGGGCCAAGACCCTTGCTATAATCTATAGACTTACCTGGGTCAAATGTTTGGTATTTTAAAATATCAGCCTTGACATTGGTCTTAGTCACCTATCCTCTTTCTTTCTCAAGTCATACTTATTCCAGGATTGGTATTGCATTTCAGCCTAGACTTAATTCTCTTCAGTCATGCTTTTAGAGCTCTGAAATAAAATAAAAGCAGACTACTCTGTGCTAGTGCTTTAATTAAAAGGATATAACAAGTCTCTTTCTGACCTTCCTACAGATCTGACTGAGCCAAAATTGCCTGATGACACTGAAGAAACAAATAAAGATGGCAAAATTCGCCAGAGACTTCTAGATTCTTCTTGCTGATGGATTCAGCCTGTGCTTAATAGGTGCTGAAAGCCGCTTCTAACAGCTGAGGCATAAAGCCATATCTATTATACCACACGATTGCCTTCCCATTGAGTTTACAAGGACTGGGATACAAAGGCAAAAGATCGTTTAAAAATATTTGAGTTGTCTGTGTTTACATGTCTACAGTTTACATGAATATTATGCCTAGAGAAACACTGACGAGGTGAACTATGTCAGTTCTGTTAGGGAAGAAAGACTGAAGTAGTGAATTTGAAAGAAAAGCAGTAAAATAAAGAAAATACTTCAGATTGGTTTCATAGATGTGTAGACATCAGTTCCTTATTATCCACTATCTTCAGCCATAACAGAGTGTCCAGATTGGGTCCCCAAAAAACAAATGGACAGCAATCAACACAACAGTTGACAATATAACAGTGACATTACAAATACCCATCATGTAAGTAAGTCAAATATTGTATTTGTTGGTCTATGCCATTTGAATAAAACTATGGAAGCAGACAAGTTTCTTTACAAGTAGCTCTGTGGATAAAGTGTCTGTTACACCTCTCACTTGTGCCTGTCTGCCATGAGATTGTACAATTCAGAGACGGAAAACTGGTGACTATCTACAAGTGGATAAACACCTGTTATCCTTGTTGATCATGCTGTTGTCAGGAGCTGGAAATGGTACCTCAACAACCTTTGAAATTCCACAGTTTCTATGCAACATGAAATACAATATATTCTGATAATACCACCATTTATAGAACTATCTTAAAGTTCGTAGCTTCAGGATAATGGAACAGAATACCCCCCCCCCCACTAAAAAAATGTAAATGCTTCCTTGACTCTTGACATTGCCTGCCTGTTTTTTCTACTTCATTGCTGTACTTCACTGCTACTTCAAAATCGTCCAAATATCTATATCCCTTTTTCTAGGAAGCTGCAGTTCTAAGGAGACAGCAATGATAATTCATCATATTATTGCAGTTCAAGGACAAATCGTTAGTGGAAGAATTGCAAACTGAAAAATACTATGTTCTTTATCTCAGTCTCTGCATATCTTCTCGAACCAGGCGTAATCTTGTACTTCTGCATTTCTTCGGTACAAAATCATAGCCACCTGCACATCTGTGCAGAAATATCTACAAGAACTAAGCTTGGAATCATAAACCACATCTTGAACGTAATACAACATAAGAAGGAATACTCACAAGTATCAATTATTGGGAAAGAATCTGTCGTCAAGGCTGCCAATAACTAGAGATTTCAAAGAATTGTGAAGTTTCAAGAAAATATTCTGGAAAAAAAGAGTTACTGGTGGCTCTTCATAATCCTTTCAAATCAGTTGAATTTATAAGAATTGGATGGAAATTCTGACGATAAGATTAAAATCAGCTCTGCTAGTTGTACAGCATTCAGAAGGGTTATTAATTAAAAAATAGAAAATAATAAAGGAAAATACACAAGTGTCTTTGCATTTCCTCTCTTGTATGTAAATGGAAACTAAACAGTTTTGCATGGGGAAACAGATTTGATTCCGGTTCTTGTATATTGCTTAAAAAGTCTTAAGGCTGTAGGTGCCTAAAGAGAATCTTGGTTTACATTGGACAGGCAGTGTCAGCAATTGGCCGGATTAACGAAGATAGACTAAAGCTTCAGTTAAGTTATTTTATTTGTTCCTGCACGATGGAGTTATTTTATGTTCATTTTAGCAGAGTAGCTTTGCATGGAATACCTGCAGGATGATAGGCCACGTAGTGTTAAGATGGGAGAAAATTACTTGGGAGTAATACTGTGGTAATCATGAAATAGTGTAACTGTGTAGTATGGCTGTAATAAAATTGTTATTTAATACCAAGATGTTTCAATGCTTCATTCTGACTGGCTCAACATAGCTGCTCCTACTGAGTTGTATTGGGATTGTTTTAGAATTATTATGCATAGAAAATTTAGAAAATTCTTATCGCCAAAAAATATTTAAGGAGCTGCGATGATTAGCATTTGGCGTGACGGGGAAGGGTAGAATAAAGCGACTGTCTTTAAGAGGTTTGGGGGCTCAGTTCCCCAATCCATGCATACTTTTTAAGAGGGAGAGGCAGCTTCCTGTAAGGACATTTTCTTGGTACCCTTTCTGCCTCCTTGATAAGGTAATGAAACGTCTGCAAGAAAACAAACTCGGAGAGCACCAAGGACCCTTCATTTCAACCCTGAGCTACAAATATTCTCCTTTATTGAAATGCCTTTGTCTGAAACCATTGGCGAACCACAACTAGCAGATAATTTTAAGCCAAATTAATGAACTGACCTGAGGAAGTCTTGCTTCTGCCATGTATCTGCTCACAACCACCTGAGCACAATCTCAGTACACACAATATAATTAGATCTCACTTTGTTGCTAAAGTGAGAAGAAGTCCTAGGCCAGTGGTGGCGAACCTATGGCACGCGTGCCAGAGGTGGCACTCGGACCCCTCTCTGGGCACACGCACCGTCACCCCAGCCCCGCCTCCTCCCATGGCCCGCTCCTCACCAGCAGCCCCCCCAGAGGATAGTTGCCCCCGGGCGCAGCCCACATGAAGCAGTGCAGCCAAGGATGATAGCCGGGCAGCGGGGACAAGACTCCGCCCTTGCGCCCCGTCGTGCACAGATGCTGTAGGGCAAGGGTGGAGGGCGCTGCTGGGCTGCCTGGGTGATCTGTGGCGGTCTGTGGAAGTGGTGGTGGTCCAGTGGGCAGGACAGAGTGGGAACGGGTGGGAGGGCAGTTTTTGGGCACTCGGTCTCTAAAAGGTTCGCCATCACTGTCCTAGGCTATGTCCACCCTTCTCAGATGGTAGTGCATGACAGGGTAGAATTTCTCTATGAAATGGATCAGATAACAACTACCATTGCCATGCTGGACAATGATAAGAGATACAATAAACTTGTGCGCTATTAAAGAGATTAGAATAAAAATATGTTTCTGTCATTAATATGTTTATTGTATATAGTTACTTAATTAGATGTCTTTGAGTTGGCTTTGGCCCTAGTAGCTACAGGGTGATGGCAGACAGAGAGCTATCTTGTTGGAATAAGGTTTCCTTCAAAGAAGTTTGATTCTCAGTGATTTTATGCCTATGCCCAGATGGTTTTGATCAGAATCAGATTCAGAACAGAGCTGGAGGGGACCTTGGAGGTCTTCTAGTCCAACCCCCGTTCAAATAGGAGACCTTATACCGTTTCAGACCAATGGCTGTCTTTCCTTAAAAACCTCTAGTGATGAAACACCCACGTCTAGAGGCAAGCTGTTCCACTGGTTGTCCTCACTGTTAGGAAGTGTCTCCTTAATTCCAGGTTGCTTCTCTCCTTGATTAGTTTCCATCCATCGTTTCTTGTCTTGCCTTCTGGTGCTTTGGAAAATAAGTTGACTTCTGTGTTTTCTTGGGAAGAAATGAAGTGGTTTGCTATTGCTCTCTTCATGGATGATTCTTAACTTTCCATTGATGTCATGATAAAATCTCCTATAATATACTGTAAATCTTATAAATCTTCCTTGTTGTATTGAGAAATGGACAAAAAAATTCTCCAAGTTTACATGCAGAACGGATCAACAGGTATCAGAAATGTTAGTTTGGGGCACACCAGTTACTATGTTTCCCTGAAAGTAAGGTCTACCCCGAAAATAAGACCTAGCTTCACGTTTGGGGGTGGGCCTAATATAAGCCCTACCCCAAAAATGAACCCTAGTTTTGGGGTGAGGCACACACTTAAAAATCAACCTAGGGTGGGGTGTGTGGATCTGCCCCACAAGCTCCGCACCCACTTACCTGGCAACCAGGCCTCCTCGCAGGCCCACTTCTGCGGCCTCTTCTGCAGCCAGGCCTGCATTTCTCAGTCACAGGCCTTTCCGGAAGGCCACTGCAGCCGAGAACTGAGCTATGGATTCAATCCATAGCTCGTTTCTGCAAGACCTCTGCAGCCGAGGACTGAGCTATGGATTGAATCCATAGCTCAGTACTCGGCTGCAGAGACCTTCTGGAAAGGCCTGACCGAGAAATGCAAGCCATAATGCAGCTGCAGAATGAAGCTGCTCCTTTGGCCCCAGAAGCAGGCAGCCTGGCCGGGGCTGTCGGAGGTGAGTATAAAAGACACCCCCCGAAAATAAGACTTGTGCCTCTTTTGGAGGCAAAAAAAAGACCCAGTCTTATTTTCGGGGAGACACGGTTCACATATTGCCCAAATGTGTATGTAGCTTTGGATTGTTTTCCTTAATATAAATGAACAAGAAGGAAGTTTTTCATTCATTTATTTGAGGTCTCTTTATCTAGTTTTAGGACTTGTCTGGAGAACATATGTTTTATTTATGCAGAAATACTGAAAACTCAAAAAGGTTCACAAACTTTTAAGTACCACTTTACATATCTTGCTTCTGCATCTAGAGCAGTGGTTCTCAACCTGTGGGTCGGGACCCCATTTGGGGTCAATCGACCATTTCATGGGGGTCGCCAAGCAAGGCTGTCCGCCATTTTTTTTTGTCCACCATTTTTTTTGTCCACCATTTTTTTTCCCTTTTCCGGCGGGTGCCTTACCTCCCTTGGGCTGGGCCAGCTGGTGGTCGGCCTGCTCCGTCTCTGCCGCTTGCCAGCTACGCCTTGGCCGGCGCAGGGGGCGGAACCACGCATGTGCGGTGCTCCCGGGCAGGGAAAGTCCTCGACTTACGACCGGTTGGGTAGTCCTCGACTTACGACTGGTTTAGTCCTTGACTTACGACCGGTTTAGTCCTCGACTTACGACCGGTTGGGGTCGCGGCATTAAAAAGGTTGAGAACCACTGATCTAGAGCAACTTCAGAGTAGAAACATTTAGAAAAAAATATGTAGTCTTTTAAAATTGATACAGTACTGTAGATGTACTTTACATAAAACTAATATCACCGAATTAAATTCTCAAGAGTTAAGGGCAGCAAGAGAAAAAAACAGTTTTGGAAACGCAGGGAAATTTTAGATCAGAACATTAAAATTAGCCTACAGGGAAATGTGGGATGGGAAATCAGAAAAGGTACCACAAAGCAATTTATTTATGAGGGGCCCTTGGTGCTCTCTGAGCTTAAATGTTTTTTTTTACAGATTTTTCATTACCAAACTAGGTAACATCATTACCTAGTTTGGTAATAAAACGACTGCAAGAAAAAAAGCAAACTCAGAAAGCACCAGGGACCCCTCATTTCAACCCTGAGCTACAAATATTTTCCTCTATCTATGACCGCACTCTCACTATTCTTTTTTCTTAATACAACATAAATGACCTCTATTGGTTCGTCCAGTAAATACAGTACAAATCAACATTTCTAAATATTTAAAAGAAATAAGAACAAACATGTCAGAAACCTTTATTCCATATCACACATTTCACATCCCTTGTACAATTTTCCGGGGTTTATAGAATAAATTTAAAATATAGTAATCAACAGTGGACTTTCCATGGTAAAATATATTGCATTGCACAGTATTTCCAAGGCCAACATGGTTTTAAAGCTTCATCCCATACTAAAACCCTAAACTAAAATTCAGTACTGAGGTTACCTTAAAGGACATATTTTCCAACTGATTTTTGTTTTTTGAAATCACTGAGATAAGCAGATGCAAGTTGGGCAAAGTTAAACTGAGGAAAAAACATTTATCTCTGCTTGAAAGTTTCTCACAATTTTTACTTTCTGAGCATATCAAATGAAATTATTGCCAAGTTTACTACCCTGGGCCCTGAATCATACCAGCTCAGTTTCAACTTATTAAACTATAACTAGCTCCCTTTGAAAACCCCAGAAATGATTATATGCACCCCATTATGAGTTACTTTAAAACATATATGTATGTATGTATGTATGTATGTATGTATGTATGTATGTATATGTTTTAAAGTAACTCTTCATAATGGGGTGCATATAATCATTTCTGAGATTTTCAGAGGAAGCTATATATATATGAAATCCTCCTCACTATAGATTATTGTCAAAAGGATTCATGTTTTATATCTAAGCATCCAAAAGACCTCTCTCTTTAAAAACAAAACAAAACTGTAACGCATCCATGTCAATCAATCAAGCTGCATATAATTCCATCGAATCACTGATTTGCATAATCAGTTTTGATTCTGGGTATTGCCTCTTTTATGAAAGTTGGAAACTTGTAAAACACGGAATGCAGGAATGGAGTTCGTTCTCTCACCCAACCAATTCTAATTTATTCCTTTGTAAAATGAAAAAAAAATCACGGGAGATAAAAGAGCCCTCTGAAAGAAATGCTGTGACACATTTCCTTTGCCTTTAAGTTTGGATACAAAAACTGCTACCTCCATTCAGGTCTGATGTTGCTCTGAGTAGGGAAGTGACTGGAGTTTGGTGACTCCTTGTTCGGAGAAATGAGGGACCGTTTTTCCTGAATTCTCTTTTCTCCCACACAGCTCCAGAATTTTCCTAACTTCACACTCCTGGACAGATTGTAAGAGTCACAAGGTAAGAAGACCTCAGTGAAAACTGCCACCCCTAAGGGGGAATATTCCTTTTTACACATTTCCCCTCAAGTGAACTCTGAATCCTACGATTTAGCAGGATATTTGTGCACGTCTGATGGCACTGCAGATTCAGAATAAGTCTTCTTCAAGGAAGCCATCAGTTTCTAGACAATACAGTAAAATTATGGAGAACAAGGTGCCAACATCTCAGGTCTCCTTTGCAGAATTTGGAGAAGTCATTTTTGCACTTTCCTTCCATGCTTTGGATGCGGAGGTTATCATCTTTTTTTTCTCGAAGTGGAAACAAATAATTCATCCTGTAAATTAATGACAGGTATTTCATTGAGACGTTATATGGTTAAGGAGAATAATCCCCTTTGGATAGGTCAGCTTTATCGGTGTATGACAATTCATAGTGGGATCCAGATATTTAAAAAAAAAAAATGTTTTGAATTTGGATTCTTCACTGATTTTGTTCCCGATCTTATCTTCTTCTCTCCCTATGGAATACAACACCAGCAATAGCACTTAGACTTATATACCGCTTCATAGTGCTTTAAAGCCCTCTCTAAGCAGTTTACAGTGCCAGCATATTGCCCCCAACAATCTGAGTCCTCATTTTACCGACCTTGAAAGCATGGAAGGCTGAGTCAACCTGGAGCCTCATCAGGATCGAACTCCAGGCTGTGGGCAGAGTTAGACTGCAATACTGCATTCTAATTGCTGGGCCACCACTATCCCACTATTCCTGGCAACAATAGCCAACATTCAAAGTTTCCTCCTGCTTTTAGAGATTGCTAACTTTCTAATTTTCTGGCAAAATAAATCATCTATTATGATTCTCTTCAATTATGTCCAATTCTAACAAATTGCCTGGACAATCCCTGCAGTTTTCTTGATGGGTTCTTCAGAAGTGGTTTGCCAATGCCTCCTTCCTAGGGCTGAGAGAAAGTCACCAGCATAAGGTCATCCAGCTAGCAGGCTGGCTAGGGAATTCTGGGAGTTGAAGTCCAGACATCTTAAAATCGCTAAGGTTGAGAAACACTGATTTAGGTATAGGTAGGTAGGTAGGTAGATAGATAGATAAATAGATAAACATTTTATATATATCAAGAGAAAAGATGGATAGATGGATCTATCTATCTACCTATCTATCTATCTATAAAGAGAGAGAGATAGCAGTGACCTATCTGATGCCCAGCAGTGTGAGAGACAAGTTCTCCCAGGACTTATTTCATGGCATTTATGTCTGCATTGTTCTTTGAATTTACAGCAGGCAAAGCCTTTTACAGAACAGAGGATTTAAGATTTCAATGAAATAACTGAATTCAGTGCTGATAACAAAGCTCATACATTACTACCAACATATATGAGAGAGAGAGAGAGAGAAAGAGAGAGAGAGAGAGAGATGATAGATAGATAGACAGACAGACAGACAGACAGACAGACAGACAGACAGACAGATAACCTTTATTGTCATTTTTTACTGTGGGCACAATGGCACACATTAAAAATTAAATTTAGTTGCTTGCTCTCAAAGTGTATACACATAACACACATTTAAACATATTATATACAACATATGCAAATAAATATGTAAATAACTGCTTCTCTGTATATATAGTTATCTGTGGCTCTTGCTGCTTCAAAGAATCTGTGCCTTAATGAACAGAGTAAAACAGCATGATAAGGTTGGAAATACTAAGAGACAAAAAAGAATTTACACAACTCTAAGGTTTAATGAGGCTGATGATGAGGTTAGCCCTAGCTTTTATTACAGAGTTTCTTGTTAGGATACTTGTTAGGAGTAAGGAATTGTGAAGAGATGTAAAAAGCACTAAATATCGCTCAAACATTTTGCATATGGATTGAAGGAAGTACGATGGAAAAAAAGATTTTATACCTCATCTGATTCAAAGGAAACACCTTTTGACGTTTGGCTCTGAGAATTCCTCTGGCTTTGCGTTGAGGTGGTTGGTAATCTAAGTATTATAAGAAGGAGACAATTATCACTCTCAATGAAATCATGATACCAGAATTCAATTATAAACTATTCAAGTTTCTAATTTGTTTCTAGCAGTTTTCAAATATTGGCTCTTATCTCTAAACTCTAAATAACAAACTCTAGATCAGACATGTCAAACTCGCAACATCACGTGACGCCGCGCAACGTATCGGGATGGTTTTGCCATTGCCGGCAATGGGGTGGGCACAGCTTCTGCATGATGCATCCAGCCCGCGGGCCGGCAGTTTGACACCCCTGCTCTAGGTCAACGGTTCTACCAACCTTTGATTTGTAGAGGAAGTGGTAAAAGACACCTCCATATCAGAATCATCGTCTTCAATCACCTGCAAGAGACAGAGCAAAGGCCCAGAAAGCTGCACTTTTAATACAGCTTAATACACTTTCAATACAAGTTGAGCTAGTTTCCAACATACAACCACAATGGAGTTCAAAATTTCTATTGCTAAGTGAGACATTAGTTAAGTGAGTTTTGCCTCTTTTACAACTTTTCTTCCATAGTTAAATGCACTGCAGTTATTAAATTAGTAGCACAGTTGTTAAGTGAACCTGGACTCCCCATTGACTTTGCTTGACAGAAGGTCGCAGAAGGTGATCACGTGATCACGGGACACTGCAATTGCCATAAATATGAATCAGTTGCTAGGCGTCCCAATTTTGATCATGGGACCATGAAGATGCTGCAATGGTCGTGTGAAAAACGGTCGTAATTGCCTTTTTCAGTGCTGTTGTAACTTCAAATAGTCACCAAAGGAATTGTTGTAAGTTGAGGACTATCTGTATATGCACAAGAAAACATCCCTTGTGTTCTTTTTTATTGGTGACTGATTCTGTCCCTATTTTCTTTTACCGGTTTATGTTGTGTTTGTAGCTGAGTTACTTTCTGTTGGGAAAGTGGCACCTGACTTTTTTTTGGGGGGGGGGGGGAAACCCCTCTGCTGGGGTACTGGGCTCAAGGCTCTGACCAGTTGATTTCCCATAAGCCTTTGAAAATCTGACTCTCCCATTCACCCCTCTGACCTCAGCACTGGGCCAGGAAATTGGATGAGCCTCTCCTATAATAGCTTGAAAATGTTTGTCTCAGCTTTCTTGTACTTTTCATTCTATTTTACGCTTTTACTCCTATTTGTGATTTGGACAGCTGTGTAAATTACTTAAATCAGTGGTTCTCAACCTGTGGGTCGGGACCCCATTTGGGGTCGATCGACCATTTCACGGGGGTCGCCAAGCAAGGCTGTCCGCCATTTTTTTTGTCCGCCATTTTTTCCCCCTTTTCCGGCGGGTGCCTTACATCCCTTGGGCTGGGCCAGCTGGTGGTCGGCCTGCTCCGTCTCTGCCGCTTGCCAGCTACGCCTCGGCCGGCGCAGGGGGCGGAACCATGCATGCACAGCGCTCCCGGGCAGGGAAAGTCCTCGACTTATGACCGGTTGGGTAGTCCTCAACTTACAACCGGTTTAGTCCTCGACTTACGACCGGTTTAGTCCTCGACTTACGACCGGTTTAGTCCTCGACTTACGACCGGTTGGGGTCGCGGCATTAAAAAGGTTGAGAACCACTGACTTAAATAAACAAAATGATGCCATGTTTTGAACACATTGGCCCTCTCTTGTATCCCAAACCTGGTTACTCAATCCAAAAATCAACCACGTGAGCCTTACCCTTTTCCGTAATAAAACACTTGCCCGCTTTGCAAATGAAGGATGCTCCTTCAGTAGAGTCACTTAAAGACACCCCAAAAGCCTCAACATTCCCAGGCCCTTCCAGGGAAACAGGCAACTAAGCAGATGGCCCAAACAAACGCCACACCTCAAGGCTTCGCAGAAGATTGTCCCTATCTGCTACATAGCAAATCAGCTTTCCTCAACGGATGTCCTTCACAAGCACTGGGAAGACAATTTGTAATATTCCCCAACCCACCTGGAAAAAGCTGCATTACACTCCCAGAAAAAGGGGAAATTGCTGGATTTTATCATGAAATAACTACCAACCTCTGAGTAATTCCTGACAGGCGTGTTTCGGGAGGGCTGCTGTCTGGACGACTTAAATGCTAGAAAACATCAGAGTACAAATGTATAGCAATGATGGTAAATTTATGACACTTTGAAATAAACTACTGTTGGCACAAAGCACGAGAGAATTAAAAAAAATCTGCAAGACCTACGTTATGACAGACGTTTATATCCATTTTAAAGATGTATATAAATGACAACGGTTGGTTTGCTTACTGTGCTTAGCTGTGTTTCATTTAAGAACAATTTACTGAATATATCAAAATCTTTTGGGTTGACATAGCAAACCCTGACTGCTCTTCAGAAGGCCAGATCCTGAAGTTCAAACTCAAGTATTTTGGCCACCTAATGAGAAGGAAGGACTCACTGGAGAAGAGCCTGATGCTGGGAAAGATAGAGGGCAATAGAAGAAGGGGACGACAGAGAATGAGGTGGCTGGATGGAGTCACTGAAGCAGTAGGCGTGAGCTTAAATGGACTCCAGAAGATGGTAGAGGACAGGAAGGCCTGGAGGAACGTTGTCCATGGGGTCGCGATGGGTCGGACACGACTTTGCAACTAACAACAAGCAAACCAAACAAATTTAATGTCTGTCTACTGTGCTATGTGAACTACTGTGTTGTATGAACCAAGGAAGTCACTTGCCAAATACAGTAAAAGCTCATAAGATAACCTACCATCCAAAATCGACATATTTTTCGTAGGAGTGAGAGGCTTATACGTTCTGCTGCTGCCTGTCTGGTCACGGGCAGCACTTCCTGTAAACAATACAATAGAGAGTCAGATGTTTACATTTTCTCACTTCTTTTTACCAAGCCTTACTAAGCCTTTAGGATGGTGCCCCCAAACTGGCTTATGCAGACTGCAATGTCCTTTAAGGAACTAACACAGGACTGGCAACATGGCATCTGCAGACACTTAGCACAATGTATCTGGTTAGACCAGGGGTAGGCAACCTTGGCTCTTTTATGACTCGTAGACTTCAACTCCCAGAATTCCTGAGCCAGCATGGCTCAGCTTGGAAACCTCTCCATTTCTCCTCAGCATGGCTGGCTCAGGAATTCTGGGAGTTGAAGTCCACGAGTGATAAAAGAGCCAAGGTTGCCTACCCCTGGGTTAGACAATATTACAGATAGTTCTTGACTCACAACAGCTCATTTAGTGACCGTTCGAACTTATGACGACACTGAAAAAAGCGACTTTTTCACACTTATAATTGTTGCAGCACTCCCTTGGTCACGTGATCAAAATTCAGACACTTGGCAACTGACTCCTATTTATGATGGTTGCAGTGTCTCGGGGTTTTGTGCACACCTTTTGCAACCTTCTGACAAGCAAAGTCAATGGGAAGTCAGATTCACTTAACAATCGTATTACTAATTCCACCACTGCAGTCATTCACTTAACACTGCAGTGATTAAATTAGTAACACGGTCGTTACTATCAGAAGGTTGCAAAAAGTGATCACATGATCCCAAGACACTACAACCGTCACAAATACGAACCAGCTGCAAAGCATTGGAATTTTGATCACATGACCATGGGGGTGCTACAACGGTCGTAAGTGTGCAAAACACTCATAAGTCACTCTTTTCAGTGGTGTGGTAACTTCAAATGGTCACTAAATGAACTGTTGTAAAGTTGAGGAGTACCTGTAAGCCAACAATCAACCACAGCAGCTTTATAGAAACTGCAACAAGATGGGAAAAAAACTAGCCACCTCTTCCTCGCCGAGATGACCCCCTGGCTGAGACGTTCTGTCCTCTGCCTCTCGCCCGACCTCTCTGTCTACCCCGGCTGGGAGCTAAAGAGTCGTCCGATTCATCATTGAATCTTTGGTTAGAGGTGGCCACATCCATGAGGTCGTCATCACTCATCACCGAAGCACGATTGGTCTCTTGAGATCTGGCTTTGGCCCTGTTGATAGCCTGGGAGAAAGAGAGGGAAGCAGGGAAAGAAAAGAATTCCACTCAGATATGAAAGCATTTCTCCATGCATGGAGTGGAAATTATCAAAGGGGTGGAAAAAATGTTTACTGCTGAATCAATGAATGGTCTTAAAACTGAAAGGGGGAAAACAGGAGAGCAAAACAGCAGGTAAAGTTTGATTTGAAACAAAAGGAATTGTGTGGTCTACATTTCTTTAGAGAGAGAAGTGAAGCACACCGTGAGGTAAATATGAGTCTCGTCTGATTCGTTCTTGGATTTCGGCCTACCTCACGGACTTCTTCGTCCTCTTCCACCGTGTTCTTTTTTCTCGATTCTCTGAAGCGCTGAACCTGCATTGAAATGGAAGAGTCACCGAATATATTCAGATGAAATAAGAATTCATGCTTAATGCAAATTTGTTTCCTTCCTGAAGGGGGAAAAAAGGCTAGCTGAAATTCAAGTACAACTAATCCTCAACTTACAACCATTAGTTTAGTGACTGTTCAAAGTTACAACAACACTGAAAAAAGTGACTTATGACTGTTTTTCACACATACAACTATTGCAGCATCTCCATGGTCATGTGATCAAAACCCAGACACTTGGCAACTGGCATATATTTATGACGGTTGCAGTGTCCCGGGGTCATGGGATCACCTTTTGTGACCTTCTCACCAGCAGTCAATGGGGAAGCCAGATTCACTTGACAATTGTGTCACCAACTTAACAACTGCAGTGGTTCCCTTAATAACTTTGGCAAGAAAGCTCGTAAGATGGGGAAAAATTCACTTAACAACCTATTTGCTTAGCAATGGAAATTTTGGACTCAAAATTGTGGTCATAAATCAAGGACTACCTGGATATTCTGGTACATTAAACAAGGATTTGACCATCTGAAGGTGGCCAAAAAATTACTCAAGGGAAGCATCTGTTCAAATCATTCTCCTAGCCGTGATGTGACATTTGTAATAGTAATACAGATATTTTTAATATTCAATTATTGAATGTGTTCAGGAAGAATAAATCATGCCATACAAACCTCTTCGTCAATTTTGGCTTCTTCTGCATCTATACGCCGCTCCTTCAGAAATCTCTGGGTCTTTTCTAACTGGAACTTCACTAGTTCTTCAATAGCGTCCTTCTCCTCCTTGTCCACAAATTCTTGCACGGCTTCCCCCATGCCTCTCTCAGTCAGAAGAGAAAGCTGCACTTTCTTGGACACATAAACGAAGAGTCAGTTTGATTTCAACTTATATGCTAACCCAGTGGTTCTCAACCTGTGGGTCGGGACCCCATTTGGGGTCGATCGACCATTTCACGGGGGTCGCCAAGCAAGGCTATCCGCCATTTTTTCCCTCTTTTCCGGCAGGTGCCTTACCTCCCTTGGGCTGGGCCAGCTGGTGGTCGGCCTGCTCCGTCTCTGCCGCTTGCCAGCTACGCCTTGGCCGGCGCAGGGGGCGGAACCACGCATGCGCGGCGCTCCCGGGCAGGGAAAGTCCTCGACTTACGACCGGTTGGGTAGTCCTTGACTTACGACCGGTTTAGTCCTCGACTTACGACCGGTTTAGTCCTCGACTTACGACCGGTTTAGTCCTCGACTTACGACCGGTTGGGGTCGCGGCATTAAAAAGGTTGAGAACCACTGTGCTAACCAGATTTGTTGAATTATGTTTGTTGAATTGAAGAAAGCATTGGATGAACTGGAATGATGGAATGCTTTGCTGGGAGAAATTTTAATTCAGTAATAAATTTATCCCTGCACTACCTTTGAAACTCCCTTTAATCATCTACCTGACCTACAGGTAACCAACATTGTTAAGTGAGTACTGACCCATTTTACTGACTTTCTTGCTAAAGTTGTTAAGTGAATAACTGCATCTGTTAGGTTAGTACCATGGTTGTTAAGTGAATCTGGCTCCTCCCCCCTTTGATTTTGCTTGTCCGAAAGTCGCAAAAGGGGATCACATGACTCTGGGATGCAGCAACCATCATTAAATATGAGTCAGTTGCTAAACATCTGAATTTTGATCACGTGACCCTGAATTTTGATCACATGACTTATGCAACCGTCATAAGTGCGAAGAACGATCATAAATCACTTTTTTCAGTACCATTGTAACTTGGAACGGTCACTAAACAAACTGTTGTAACTTGAGGAATACCTGCAGTTTTAGCTAAGATTTAGTTATTTATTAGTAATAATAATTAATATGAATAAATGATAAAAACTAATTAATTAGTTTTAACTTTTTCTGCAGCTTAGCCACAAAAGCTTAACTTGTAACCTGGCTACAAAAAGTTACAGGTTTTGTTCTAACATAACTTTCACATCCAGATTGTTTATCTCAGCGCAATATCAAAACCACAAATTGCCCAAAGTTTAAATGGAAAATTCCAATAATGGAACTCCAATCATTCAATTAAAATCTGGTCTGATGATTATTTTTAAACCAAGTCATAAATACTAGAAAAATATGTTTACCTTTTCTGCTGTTTGGAAATATTGCTTTACTAAATCCTCCACCCGCAGGGTTGTTCCCTCAGCTGTAGGCTTGTGGACCAGTTTTCTGAAGTTAACTTCATCTTCTAAAAAAAAATAAAAAAAAATATAAGATACATTTTAATCCTTTTAAGGAAATGCTTACTATTCCAAATAATCACCATCATGAAGTTTTTTTAAAAAAACAATTACACACATACACACACACACATCTGGTAGGCATAAAGAAAATATGTAATGTTTTATTTTAAAAGTTTAGTGAATTGTAACAAAAATATAGATTTTTCATGGAAAACAGAAGTCCTATATTTTAAAAATACAGATTTTTATTTTATTTTATTTTATTTATTTATTTTATTAAATTTATACCCCGCCCTTCTCCCGGAGGACTCAGGGCGGCTTACAGCCAGTTTAAAACAATGATATAATACAATACAAAATTTAAAAAGATTAAAAATAACTATTTAAATTTGGCCGCTTCTACTAAAAATTTAATTTAAAACCCCTTTAAAATACCCCTAGGCCAGTCCTGCCTGCTGAAATAACCAGATGGAAAGATAAAATAAATAAACATTTTCAACAGTGAAACACCACCATTAAAATAACACAGGTTCCTACTGCAGATTTTCTTTTGTATTTTGTTCAGTTTTTAGTCTTATTGAATACCTGAGTTTACTTGATTGGTTAATTATTAAGAAACCTAAGTCTCAGAATGAAGTTAACTATTTGGTCAAAAATATTCATTTGTCTTAACTTTAACCCAAGATGCAAAGATAATTGTTCAAAATAATAAAGACTGAATTTTAAAAGGCCCTACTAAAAACACAAAAGATTCTAGAACAGCATTTAATATAGCTTGAGATCATGTTTTTACTTATACACATATCACCATAATAATCATTCTGTGGACCAATTCAATTTCATTTCAGGAATGCTTTTGCAATCCATTTCCTCTTCAGTAAAACCTCACTAGTGTTCATTAAAACCTTGAGTACAGAATGTTTGTCAGCTATTAATAATCTCCTTTTTTAAAAGCTGGGACATATTTCTCAATATCATCTTATTTCAGAAGCACAGGTGCTTTGAACAAGATGACATAGCAAGGCTGAAACCATCAGTGAAACAAAGACTAGCAATCTGCTAGTGCTAAAAAAAACACCCCATCGTTTCATCTTGCATGAACAGAAAAAGAATGCCTAGACGTAATTATTCTTCCTAGTACTTTATGAAAAGGAATACAATCCACGGGCTAGATCAGCTGTAATGAAAATGTACTGTAATTACGTATGTAAACACAAATTTCAAAGGAATGTTAAATACCAGGCAATGAATTAAACATTAGGTGAGATGGACAAGGCTTCTGGGCCTTACCAGGTGATTTTAGGCAAAGATAAGAGTTTATTACAAATGATTATTACAATTTATAGAAATCAAATAGGTTGGTGTATTGTGAAAAAGAAAATTATCAGAACAAACCAACGGTTTTCAGGAAGAAACACATTTAATTGCTTGGAAGTGGGAGATTTAAGAAGGACCAACATAAATATATATAAAAATAATAGATGTATAAAAATACCTGATAGCATGAAAACGACAGAAATAATGTAGTGGGGGAAGACAAATTGGTCCAGGAATAAAATCATGGAGAACAAGCGATGGACCTCAAACTTAAATTTTGAGAATATCAAAAGATGAAAGGAATAGATCCAAAGCCGTGAAAATCTATGGATCAGTAAGTGGAGAGTTACTGATCCTATAAATGAGTTTCTTATTCTCTACATTTTGAGCATGTCTTCAACATGGTTAGCATGAATAGGAAACATTACATCTTTCTGCGTGTTCAGCTTATGTGCAAGATGTTTTTTATTAAATAAATTTAATTTGATTCTGTATTCAGATCATATAGCAAGTGAGACATACTGAGTTAGCCAACGCTTGTGCTAAACAAACAGAATTATATTCTTAGATTGTTAGGACTTAAGTTCCACAGTAAACCCTCCAAATCCCTTGACTGTNCGAGGTCCCTCTCACAGTTACTACTATTGAGCAAGGTGCCACCTATGCTGTACTTGTGCATTTGGTTTTTCTTGCCTAAATGTAGAACCTTGCTTTTTTCACCATTGAATTTCATTTTGTTAGATAGTGCCCAGTGTTCAAGTCTGTCCAGATCCTTCTGTATCTTAAGCCTGTCTTCTGGAGTGTTGGCTATTCCTGCGACTCCGGGTGGCTTACCACACAATAAAAGCAATATAAAAGGATTAAAAATGTTAAAAACAATAATAGGTATTAGATAATATACTTTACATTATACTTATATTTATACAGGTAGTCCTTGAATTACCACCATTCGTTTAGTGATTGTAGTTACAACAGCACTGAAAAGGAAAATGACTTAGAACAGTTTCTCACACAATTGTTGCCATGGTCATGTGATCAAAGTTCAGATGCTTGGCAACTGGCATGTATTTATGACAGTTGCAGGGTCATGTGATCACCTTTTGCAACCTTTTGACATGGAAAGTTAACGAGGAAGCCAGACGGATTTAACAATCATGTTACAAACTTAACTGCAGTGATTTACTTAGCAACGGTGGCCAGAAAGGTCGTAAAATGGGGCAAAACTCACTTAATAACTGCCCCACTCGAAATTTGGGGTTCAATTGTGGTCGTAAGTCGAGCACTACCTGTAATTATACTTATTCTTCATCTCACTCACCCATCCCAACACACATCATTTCCCACACAAAACAGAAAAACTTCTATAGATAAACTTCTATTATTTTTCCCAGGGACAATACATACCACAACAAATTTGGAAAATTATATATTTTTTAAACATTTACCATTTTTCTCTTTTTGTTCCCGATGCCTGAAAAAATGTATGATATCTTTTGGATTAGCCACTTTATCCATGTATTTCTGGCTGAAACGAACCATACTGAATGGTTCGAAGCCTCCGCTGTAATCTACCTTCAAATCAAATCAAATAAAGAATAAAAGATGTGGGAATTTGCAATTAGGCATCTGTAAAAAAATACTTAAAAATTCATCGGCTGAATTTGATGTGCTTATCAATATTTTACTAAGGTACTAGCAAACACTTTATTATTTTAGTATAGCAAATATTTACTGAAGTATTAGTATTATAGCATATTCTAGCTACTGTTAGTAATTCACAGGAACACCATGTACTAACAGCTGGCAAAACTGAAAATATATTCAACTTTAATGTTCATGCAATCTTCAGTCAAGGAGTTTATAAAATTAGCTCCTCTAAGATCCTCAACCTCCATCTCTAAGGCATATTTTAATTAATCCCTAAGGCTACTTAATTAAGCAAAACTAAAGCCTTAATCCAGGGGTCTTCAAACTTAGCAACTTTAAGACTTGTGGACTTCGACTCCCAGAGTTGCTAAGTTTGAAGACCCTTGCCTTAATCGATACATTAGACATGTAGAATTGTTTAAAAATCAACCCATACTTGAAAAGTTACTGCCTGTTAAAGTTTGGCTAATGAAACACTAGGAAGAAAGCTTCCGATTTAAAGATCACATTCTTACTCGTAATCTTATCAGAGGCTTCTCTGGTTGTTTGGAATTTCCCAGACGGTGTCTTTCTGCGTTTTCCAGCATCATTTCAACCTTTAAGAAAGGGACATAATTTGCTAAATGCAAAATCTGCTGTACCAGGTATCAATATATGCACGATATAGATCAGGGGTCTTCAAACTTGGCTCTTTTATGACTTGTGGACTTCAACTCCCAGAATTCCTCAGCCAGACATGATGACTGAGGAATTCTGGGAGTTGAAGTCCACAAGTCATAAAAGGACAAAATTTGAACACCCCTGATATAGATTAAAGCAAGCAATCTTTAAGTTTTTTAGAATTTTTCTTCTTCTGGTACATACCTCTTTAAACTACATAAACTACATAAATGAGAAATTACAAGGCTGATTTCCAATGAAGATAATCTGTCCCAACCCACAGCAGAATTGGATTTATTGTTCTTGTAATGCTCTGAAAGCCACAGCAACATTAATATAGGCAATGTAGCCTGCTTGTATTTAACTGGAATCTATTCTTCTCACTTAGTAGCAATAGACAGTACCCCAACTATCTAGTCTATGCTCAGAGAAATGCAAAGAAGTCTTGCCAAAACATTTTAGAAGAAAATGATAGAAAACATTAGCAAGAATATGCAATCTATTGCCCCCAGTCTAAACACAATCTCAAAACCTTTTTTTGGAATTTCATGGGACCTTGACAGCAGCAATTGCCAAGAACTGGCAACAGCATTTCTACCATTTTGAAGCATAAAATATTAAAAAATGTAACATGACCCTTAATGTAAGCTTAACCTAATTTTAAAAAGGTGATTGTCTTGCATCATAAGCTCTAAGCCGAAAAAACTGTCCCCATTGTATCTATGTTTATAACAGCATGTGTTTATTTGTTTGTTTGTATGTGTTATCTGTGTAGAACAATGAGATTTGAGAAACAATGAAGAAAACTCCTTTTGTTTAATGAAGAATTTCGCTCACCTGACATTGACTTCTATCTAATACCACATCCAATCCTATAGTACGGGCAATACAATACCACTATGCATTTTTTTAAAAAAGCTTTACCTTCTCCATGCAGAAATCTTGTATTACTTGTGTGACTTTTGGGTTGTCTGGGAGAAAAAAATCCGGATAGTCAGCCAGAACAAGGTCTTCAAGGTAGAAAGGCCGTACGGTCTGGAGAGGAATCTTCTGCATCTTCATTTTTTTGTCTTTGATGTGCAACAAGCCAACGTGTCTGGGAGGCATTGAACAAAGCGATTCGAATCTTGGCAATGTGATAGAACTTCAGAATAGTCACAGAATTTGGTAGAGAGCAATGACAATAAAAATGTAAACCTAGGTGATTGGAGGAGATCAAGGTCCATGGCTAAGAACTCCCATCTATCATTATCAAAAAGTAAGGAGCGTAGTAGCTCACGAGGTTAGGATGCTGGGCTGATGATCAGCAGGCTCACGTTTGAGTCCCGGAAACTATCGCGGGACAGGGTGAGCTCCTGTCACATGCTCCAGCTCCTGCCGACCCAGCAGTTTGAAAGCGGGTGAGTAGATAGATGGATACCTTAATGGGGACATGAAGCAGCCCCAACTGGATATCTCCCAGGCAACAGGGATGTCACCATCCTTTCAACCCGGAAGCACTTCAGTGCTCCCAACCTGACTAGTAGTATCGTCAAAGTCAGCCCTAAGATTTATATAGGTGCGTAATGAAGTAACTTTCCTATCTAAATCCAGTTACATTACATCACTGCAACTGATGATTTATTGTTCAGAACTAGAATGTTAGAGTGTTTCTTACGTTTATATTCCACTTTCTTCTAAGCAGACAAAGGCAATTTCCATTTTCTCATCCCCCTTTTGACTATCCTAATAACCCTGAACCGAGAAAAAGGAATTCCCTTAAACTACCCAGGGAGCTGTATCAATTATATACAGCACATAAGAATGTAATTTGACTGGATGAAACAGAAATAAATACAAAAGAGATTTTTTTATTATTCATTTTCTCTTCCATAGTTTCTTGATTAGAGAAAAACTGTTGTTAAAATGTCCTTCTCTAATTCAGAAGACAGAGGCTTCTGCTGAACATCCCCAAATCCCTGAGTGGCCTGTTGCAAGTCAGATGTATATTGTAAGTGTAACTATACAACCACAATTGAGCCCAAGATTTCTATTGTTAAACCAAACAGTTGTTAAGTGGATTCTGCCTCATTTTACAATCTTTCTTACCACAGTTGTTAAGTAAATCACTGCAGTTGTTAAATTAGTAGCGTGGTTGTTAAGTGACTCTGATTTCCTCATTGACTTTGTCAGAAGGTCGCAAAAGGTGATCACATGAACCTGGGACACCGCAACCCTCATAAACATGAGCCAATCGCCTCCAAAGTTCGATCACGTGACTGTGGGGATGCTGCAATGTTTGTTAAGTGTGCAAAATGGTCATATATCAAGGACTACCTACAGTGTCTTTGCCTCAGATTCCATGCAATTCCTAGCATGGGGATTATTTTTAGCAGAGGAGTTTGAATTTTTATAATTTGCTAATATCATTAGTGAGAAAGGTTCTTGGGAAGTATTTCTCTTTAAATAAGTCTCTCTGGCTGTACTACTTTACCTCAGTCTAAATCAGGGGTCTTCAAACTTGGCCCTTTTATGACTTGTGGACTTCAACTCCCAGAATTCCTCAGCCAGGAATTCCTCAGGCACGCTGGCTGAGGAATTATGGGAGTTGAAGTCCACAAATCATAAAAGGGCCAAGTTTGAAGACCCCTGGTCTAAATCTATTCTTGAATGGTCAATCAGCTATGAGGCCCAAGGGAAATTTATCCTGTAAATCTGTTAACATGCAAATTTTAATACCAACAACTATACTACATTTGGGGAAACAGTATAGTAAGTAGTTAAATCCTTAAATCCAAATTTAACCTAATCATTAAATGTTACTAATTAGTCAGGGTGGCTTCAATATCTGTGAAAATGGAAAATGCTATTTGTCAATCAGATATTGCTTTCAGATTTTCTTTGGATTATCCTTTCTTATAAGCACAATAGAACCAAGAGATCCAAAAGAAAAATCAAAACGCATTACAGATTCCTCAAAAATGAAAGAGATACAGTGTTTAAAGGAAAGACTCCTATAAATTTGTACTGAATATATAATATAAATTACTGAAACACGAGATCATACTTTTTGACGGTTTCTCCTGGTGACAAAGATGTAACCACTGAACTTCCTGGCTGAGAAATATAGAAAAGTTGCTGCTCGTTTCTGATTGGAGATATTTTACATTCATGTTCGTGACCCCAAATTACAAGGTCAATGAAGTCATCTAGAAACTGTTCTGGAATATAATTTGTGGCTCCATGTTTACTCCTGTGCCAAAGAAAACAAACACAACAGCAACAAATTAAAACAGCATTTTGCAAACTATAAACCAAAGTACCCAATTTTTAAATATAACATGTTATCACAATATTAGGCCCATTCTCACTGTCCCAAATGTGATTATCAGGTATCAAAAGGTAAGAGAAATTAAAAGAAAATATTAGATTCTGATATTTACATATACAATCCCATGTAAGTTTCAAAACATTTGTAATTATGATTTTGCTGTTCTAGTTCTACAATTATTTTGCCACATTGAAAACTGTGACGTTGTCAAATTCAGTGACTTGATCAACACAAGAGACAAATCATTCCTGGGCTACAAATAAACAAAAAACTCAACAACCAAAGTGGATGACATAACTAAGAACAGGCTATCAATTCAGGATCCAGATGAGATCAACATAGACCAAAGGCATAAGATGTAACCTGGGGGCTGTATCTGTACCTGTTCTGATGAATTACAAAGAGATTAAACCATCTATCTTCATCTTCTTTCGGCCTCAACATGGTTACTTGTTTATTCACAAACATCCGATGTAGCCTTTCATCGGGAACAGATCCTAGAAGAGAAACATTACATGCAATGGGCTTTTAGTGATCTACCAAGCAGAAAATTACACAGCCGAGTAGTGAGATTCCAGTTAGTATTTAGATATCACATGAAATTATTTTGCCAACTAAAGATTAGATTGGCCCTGACCTCAGTCCTTTGCAACGCCTTAAAGACAAATTGGGCTTGGGGAACACCTTGCAGCCTTACACTTTTTCCACATGGCACTCATTGCATGAGGGGCAGTGCAGTGACTCAGCGGTTAAGACCCTGGACTTGTTGGCTGGAAAGCCGATAGCCTAGGTTTGAGACCTGAGCTCCACATGATGGGGTGAGCTCCCATCCTCGCCTAGCTGCTGCCAGCCTAGCAGTTTGAAAGCATGCAAATGCAAAAAGGTAAATAGGTACCATTTTGGTGGGAAGGTAACAATGCCCCACGACATCATGCTGGTCACATGACCGCAGAAATGTCTTTGGACAGCACTGGGTCAACGGCCTTGAAATGGAGATGAGCACCGCCCTCGATAGGCGGCAACGACTAGCGGAATAAAATCCGCAGTGTCTCCTCTACTCAGTGCATGAAAATCTAAATAAAATTTAGGAGCATGCAAAACGTATCATTTTGAATCCTTTCCAGAATGGAACTTCATCTCAGCGTTTGGAGTGGTAAATTTGAGTCTGAAACACTTCTGAATACTTAGATCAGCATGTTTCACAAAGCAGAGGCTTTGTGCTCAGAAATGAGTTCGCTCACAAAATTTTGCACTTGAAATAGTTAGAAGTATTTTCATACACCTAATCCAGTGATGGTGAACCTTTTAGAGACCAAGTGCCCAAACTGCAACCCAAAACCCACTTATTTATCGCCAGGTGCCAGGTGGGACGTGGCCCACTGGATGAGCGTGGCTGTGGTCATGGTAAACTGGGTGGGTGTGGCCAATGTGGGCATGGTCACCTCGATGTTGCTCGTGGGGAGGGACGCCTGTGGGGGCCGGGCAGGCTGGGGGAGATCCAGGGGGTCTCCGGCAGGTGGGGCGGTGGGCAGGAGGCTCGTCCTGCAAGGTGAGTCGAGGCGAGGCAGAGTGGGGGTACCATTGCCAGCGAGTGCATGGGGACCGATGGTGTGCGTCAGCAGCCACAGCCTGCCTGCTCCTCGACCAGCTCACTCTGGGGCTCAACAGCCCAGCAGTTCAGAGAAGCCGCCTTTGATCTGGAAAGATGGCCTACAACTGAGGAGGCGATGCAGTGGGTTGTGCCCGGGAAAAGGAGAGCATGCGAAGCCAGGAAGGGCGGGACGGGGGGGGGGAGGGAAACCAGCCGTGCCGGGATGCATCTGGCCACGTGGGACCTCAGGCGGCTGGTTGCCATCTCCGGGGCATGGCATGCGTGCCCACAAAGAGGTGCCATAGGTTCGCCACCACTGACCTAATCAATATTTTGTGGATCAAATCTTGGTAGTCCTACTCTTAATTCTAACCCACAAATTACAAAATAAAAATTCAATTCAATATCTTTTATTCTTTTTTCCATTTTTGGAGAACCACTCGTATACACAAAATATCGTGCCCCAATTAGAGAGGTGCAAAAATCTTACCTAATCCATAAAGAGCAATCTTTGAATTTCCTTTCTGAAGCAAAATAGGACTAATTTCTATTTTCTCTACAGATGGTGAACGTCCAAAATGATTAATAAGTCCTGCACAAGTTAAAATGTCCAAAGCACAAAGACCATCTGCCTATAGATATGGAAAATAGTAACAAAAATAGAATTTGAGACACATCAATTTTGTTAAATTCCCAACATATAAAACGTTAAAACCAGAATGGGTTACTTATCTGCGTGTGCACATAAGTAAAAACCAGTATACTTTGCATATTACAATTGCTTAAATTTCTCAGACAAATGACAAATTAATGTATTTTCCTGTATTAAATAGCCCCTAAAGCCTTTGACATCTCAAAAGTAAGGAAAACGTAAGAGTGATTGCAAGCTACATAAAGTGGCATTGCAAATACTGTAGCTTCTAATCTGCTTTACTTTCTCCAGGCTAAGAATAATCTCTGAACAATGAGACAAAAACCAGAATGTAACTAATTACTGTATTTTTCCACAAATTAACAACATTTCACAAATAAAATATACAAAAACAGTATGATAAAAGTTCAATTTTTAAAACTTGGTGATTTTTGTTGAAAACAATGAGCCAAATCAATTGTACAACGAAAGGTTGTACGCTTTTACCTAAGGAAGTTACCGTACATTCTATCCTATGCTAAAACACAAACCATGTATATTAAATGCTATTTTTATTTTGTATGCTTTCCTAATCATAATCTATTATAAACGTGACAACAACTTTAAGAAATACCTTGGTATAGGTGCACTTGGTATAGGATACAAGATAATTCTTGCTCAATTTCATTAACAGATTTTAGTACAGAATTGCTGGATTGTAATTTTTATAGTCTTGGCTGTCTTTCTAAAGTATTACTAGCATAATTAATAAAGCTACTGGTCTTCTTTCACCCTCTAACATTCTTACCCCTGTGGGATCATCATGGTTGCCATGAATACTAAAAACTGGAATAGAAATGTTGAGATTTTCATCTTGATAGTTCACCCATGGAAACCTAGACAGGACAAGGAAAAAATGCATCATTTCCAACATGCAGCTAAACTTGTATATATTTTTTAACAGAATTAAATCTTATAGGCTGAATTCAGAACTGTGAAGTTCTTGATGTTCTCTGAGTTTGGCCATCTGGTTACAGATCTTTCACTACCGAACCAGTTAACATCATCAGTGTGATGGAGTGTGGAGTTTGCTGTTTATATGTAGTGATTTGTCCTGCCACTATATTAGACAGCAAACTCCATATACATTCACACTGGTGATGTTAGCTAATGGTCTGCAAGATCAGCAATTCAATTCAATTCAATAGAAGAGTGGAATAGAATTAATTTGATAAATTATCTGTTTTGAGAAAAGGGATGAGATAGTTTTTATACATTGCCCCTTGATCTAAAAAGCTGCTCAGGAAGTTGGAGAGATCTTTTAATATATATAAAAAGAAAGGTGCAAAGCTACAAGGGAGAGAGAAATGGGAAAAAAAGGCATTTCTCCCATTTTAGCACCTTTCATGAATGCATGGGATTTTTGCTTGCAGGCCACAGATTTTTGCTTGCAGGCAGCAGAATTTCAGGGGGGGGGGAATCAAGAGCTCCATTAAGCAGACTGAACAGGAAAACACTCAGTGTAATAATAATGCAAACCACAATAAAAATGTATGTGCAGCATTGTCCAGAATTAGCATCACTCATCAAAATGAAGAATTGGATCAAACTTTTTTGAGTTATTTACAGTTCAGATAAAGCTGTGATTCAGTTACAATCAGTTATTTACAAAATAACTGAACTTAAATTTAATATAGGAATACTTACTTGCTAAAGCCAAAATTAACTGACTGGTCACTAAGAATTTCAAATTGTACAGGGCGGTCACCCATGCAATATCTTCTTAGTAGTTCTAAACATGTATATATTGTTTTCCGGGAAGGCTTGTTTTCATGAAAGAGATCTCCACCTAATAAAATGAAGTCCACCTATAAACAGATTTTTGGGGGATATATTATTATTACATATGCATTTTTTTCTCAAAATTATACATTTCTAAAAATGGTTCAACTAGACCAGGGATAGGCAACCTTGGCTCTTTTATGACTCGTGGACTTCAACTCCCAGAATTCCTGAGCCAGCATGGCTCAGCTTGGAAACCTCTCCCTTTCCTCTCAGCATGGCTGGCTCAGGAATTCTAGGAGTTGAAGTCCACGAGTCATAAAAGAGTCTACCCTGAACTAGACAGTGTTTTTGGGTTGGGGTTGTTTTTTTGTTTTGTTTTTTTGAGAATAGATGTGGCTATTTTAGAAGTTTTAGCCTCTCCAAAGTGCCTTTTGGTTTATGGATCCTAAATCCTGCATTTCCATGCTACTAAACCCCAAATGCATCCTTTTAAGGCTCAAAAATATAGAGAAAGCAAAAGAGATGACAGCCCTTTCTAGAATTTGGCAGGTTTTATTTTTAATCCTGACTGTATAAAATAAGTTACTATGTTAATTAAAGAAGTATGGTAAGGTACCTCTTATAATGAAAAAAGAAAGAACTGAAGATGAAAAAGTACACTCAGATATGTTTACGTTATAAAACTTCACTTAAAGGTGAATTTAATTGTCCCATTATCTGCAACTGATTTATGGACGGTCAATATTCCTGTATATCTTAAAACTAATTTTATTTATCTACTTATAAGATTGTTAACTGAGCCCAAAAGATTCTAGGTAGTATGCAAATACAGAATTACAACGTGCCATGGCAAATTTTTCATTACTGCCCCAGGTCTTATTGACAGTATGATAGACTCAGATTTATTTTCACAATGTCATTGGTGTAATATGCAATTAATGTCCAATTAATGTCTTAACAGTAAGAATAATTTCTAGGAAATTCAGATAGTTCTCGACTTACAACCATTCATTTAGTGGCTAGTTACAACGGCACTGAAAAAAGGGACTTATGGTCATTTTTCACACGACCGTTGCAGCATTCCCTTGGTCACATGATCAAAATTTGGGCACTTGGCAACTGGCATGTACTAATGACAGTTGCGCTATACCGTGGATTACGTGATCCCCATTTGAAACCTTCCCAGCTGGCTTCTAAAAAGCAAAGTCAATGGGGGAAGCCAGATTCGTTAATGACCACACAATTCATTTAACAGCTGCAGTGATTCGCTTAACAACTGTGGCAAAAAAGATCGTAAAATGAGGGGCAACTCACTTAACAACTGTCTTGCTTAGCAAAGGAAATTTTGGGGTCAACTGTGGTCATAAGTCAAGGTCTACCTGTATGTGACCTTTCAGTGGTAGTTTTGTAACGTAATTTCAGAGTGGCTTGCCTCGTTCTCTTGAGCAAGTTTCAATATTTCATCCAAGGTAACAAAAGTATCATTTCCACGACAAGCATCCTTCTCCAAATATCCAAGGTGAATGTCTGTAGCAACTAAAATTTTAAATGTGTCTTCTTCCTCTTCATCTCTAAAGTTAAAGAGAAACAAGCAAACAAAAAAGCAGAATAGTATGGCTGCATCATTTACTGTTTCAGCATCTAATACAATGAAGTATTCTGTAAAGTTGTAGGTTACATTCTTCAAATGCTACAGTATTCAGCATTCATTTCATGGAATTATAGAATTATAGAACAATTGGGCCTGTAGAAACTTTTCCTGCTATATTTCTACCATTAACTCAATCTCTATGATGCTTAGAAGAACCTTTAGTTATTTAAATTATTTCTTACAACATATATGCAAATCCACGAGAGCACAGGGTTTTTTTATATTATTGATTTAAATTACAAAAGTATTCTTTGCATCCCTTATATAATTTTCATTTTCAGCACTAATGAGGTGACAGTAAATTATAGGAACACCAAGATAAATGACTAAATATCTTCCCCACTGATGTGAATATTGTGGAAAATTTACCTGGAAGTGGTAGAACTCATATCTACAATCAGCCTGGGTCCAATTTATAAAAGGTCTCACAAAGCCAAATGACTAAAAAAAACAGACAGTCAAGACCTAGGAACAACCAAATAAAGAGAAGAATCTTAGGGTAATAAACTTGAAGCCAAAGTATCATAATATATTGTTTAAAATGCACTTTTCCAGTGAACAAAAAAACCCAGTTCAATCATAGAAAAATAAATGAAAAACCAAGAGTCTATATAACCAGGAAAACTCCAAGGCAATTGTGGTTTTTAGCTTTTATCACTATCACAATTTTTGGTGGTTTTTTTTTTGCAAAAAGCATTAAAGCAGGGATCCCCAACCCATAGTCCACGGACCGACATCAGTCTGCGGCATGCCAGAAACTGGTCCACACAAACAAGCAAAGCCCCATCCATAAAATGCAGGCAGCATGCAAAACCACGCCCTCTCAGGTCCACAGGAAAACCTCTCTCCACAAACCGGTCCCTGATCCCAAAAGGTTGGGGGCCTTTGCATTAAAGCTGCATGGCTGCTGCCTTTCAAGAAAATCCCAAAGGATTGAGGGATTTTATAGGAGAGTTTGAAGAAATCTTAATGTTTGTGGGTGGAATAATGAGATACCACAAAACTTTTCTGCAGAAATAAAGTAAGAAAGGACAAACTAATTTTTCTCTCTCCATCTTTTCTCATTTTACTACGAAAGAATGGAGGCGGTCATTCTCCTTTACCTACAATAGGATTTTGTTGAAGGAAATAATAATGTCCTTTCATTTTTTATAAAAGAGCAATGTAGCACACTCCATCCCATTTGTAGAACTTGCAGAAGGGAGACCTAATCCTAATAAGTGATTTAAATATTAAACTTAGCCAAAATCTGAGGCCCAATCTGGTGTGATGGTTAAAATACCAGATTAGAAGCTGGAAGAACATGACTTCTAGTTTTGTCTTAGGCACAAAGCCATCAGGGTGATTTTGGACCAGCTTCTTTCAAAATCTTGTCAAATAATGGACCAGTGCAGGCAGTCTTCAGTGAATCAAAGGCATCACCAAACTAAATAAATAAAATAAAAAGTGAAAACCTTTTTGGAAAGAATACGGAAACAGCAAATTACACGAAGCAGACATTGTCTTGAGTTTTGGCATAAGTGACTGATCCAAGCAATGAATGACTTTAATGGACTGTCACACATGACTGGTCTCTATGTAACACCGAGAAGGGCCTGTATTACTTCAGTAAAACTGATAATTATACAATTTCCAGAGCAACATACAATTACAATGCAAAGGAAACCAAAAACCTGAGAGAATAAACACCTTCCCAAATAGGCAATCCAGCGAGTCAACTCTGCTTCGGTAATTCTTACAACATGTAAAATGTTAATTCATGCAATGTAACTTCAACATTTAGAAATGTATAATATTCCAAAGAAGGAATAAGATATTATTAAACGAGCCAAAAATCTCTGCTCTGTACTGAAACAGGAGACATTGCTTAGCCCTGATTTAAGCTGCTCTGCATCTTTCATGCAGTGACCAGTCAGCGGACTCTTCTTCCACGGCCATCCCGTTCTTGGGGAAGACGAACGGAGAGGCTGACTTCAAACCAAAACGCTTAACCAGGTCGGTGGGAAACGCAGCATTCCCACAACATGCTAAAAACTTGGGGCTGAGGGTTAACCCTACTTGGCTTTCTCATGCGGGGCAACCCCGCCCCACCCCCCGCCAAGGATTATGTCAAAGCCAAGCAACCCAGCAGAGACGGGATGCATCAACTCCTCTCGAGGGGAGAGTCGTCTGCTGGCGCCCCGGGCTGGAATAACCTATTGCACCGAAAGGATGGTTGCGCATTCAAGCAGAGCCGTGCACGACTCCTGCAGAGGCACCGCAGGCAGCCTCCTCGCTGCGGTTCGGGACTCCGGCGATTCTTGGGCACCAGGCTCATTTCATCTCGTCTGCCAGCAAGGCAGAACAAGGTGGCCGCCCCCACGCTTCACCCCGCCGCCCCCCCAACCCNTCTCACCCCGCTTTCCCTTTCCATACTTCCGGGCCCTCTCCCGCGAGCGCCGGCAACCACTTCTCGCGAGAACCACGCAATTCCCGCCTTTCCCCCCCCCGAGGGGGGGCTAACCCCCTGCAATCGACTCTCATTGCGCAGCCGCAAGAGGTAGCCGCTTCCGGTCAGAGGCGCCCCCCCCTCCCCAGGAAGGAGTTAAATGTCCTAGACGAGAGGGGGAGTGAGGCCTGTCGGGGCGGTGGAGGAGTCAAGGCTTCGGCTACTTGCTGCTGTCGGTGCAACTGCTGTCGGTGCAACGCGGAGCTCGACACGCGTCCTGTCCTGGAGCCGGGGAGGTTTTGAAGCGTGTATGCCGAGGATTCTATTCATCCCATCATCCCTCCGTGCGTGCATGGATTTGTCTGTACGTGTCTAGTCTCTGCTCCCTGGATGCTCGTTAAGGCTTAATTGAGCCTCCTTAAAGGTAGGGGCTGGCTACTTGGTTTTAGCAGGTTGTTTGAATCCTTCCCATGAGGGTTGTGAGGCTGGGCTTTTAAGGAAGAGATTGGACTGGAATGGCATAGGGCAGTGTTTCTCAACCTTGACAATTTTAAGGCATGTGGACTTCAACTCCCAGAATTCCACAGCCAGCAATGCTGGCTGTGGAATTCTGGGAGTTGAAGTCCACATGCCTTAAAATTGTCAAGGTTGAGAAACACTGGCATAGGGTCTCCTGCTTGAGCCGGGGGTTGGACTAGAAGACCTCCAAGGTCCCTTCCAGCTCTGGTATTCTTGTTATTCTGACCCCTTTGTGTGAAGGAGCCAGTTGTGATTCTTTCAGCAGAGCCTGTCTTGGAGTCCTTGGTGACCCCCTTCCCGGATGAAGAACACCCCATTAGGTCTGTAGCCTTCATCTGTGTGTGTGTTTTAGCCTTGTTCAGTTATGTAGGACTGCCAGCCCTTCGAGGTAGTCCAGACAGAAGCCCAAAACCATGAGCACCAGCGTCACTGTTATTGTAGGTGTACAGGGACAGTATCTTGCAAGTCTGAAAGCACTTCTCCTCTTCCTTATGTCTATGGAGATTCTCAGTCATCCAGGCCATGGTTGTCCCAAAGATGATTTTTTCAAAAGGCAACTGGACTCTCTTGGTTTTTCCTTGAAGCCCTTTCACTTCTCATCTAAGAAACATCCTCTGTTCTGACTGAATGCTGGGAAATGGAAAGCCTGCAAGGAATATCCATCCTTCCATTCCCAGCATTCAGTCAGAACGGAAGAAGCTTCTTGGATGAGAAGCAAAATGTCTCCAAGAAAAAACAAAGTCCAGTTGCCTTTTGAAAAAAGCACTTTGGGGTCTCCTCTCCCTTGTTTTATTTTCCAGAGAGCTAGAGAAGATCCCTTCTGAGACGCTTTCTTTACCCTCCTTCCTCCTTTGGGCTCCGATATCTCTTATCAAACTAGGTTTAATACCGAATCCCCTTATTTGACAGGTCTCCCATCTGCCCTACCCCGCAAATTAGAATGGAATGTATTTGGTTGCTGGTTTGTAAAAAAAAAATGAAAGCAGCATCTTATTCTTGCCTCCTCCATCTAAATCCCATTGTATGGAAGAGAGAATGACCCTTTCCATTCCTTCGTAGTCAAATGAGAGAAGGAGGAAAAAAAGAAAGTTTAGTTCTTCCTTTTTTACTCTGTTTTTGCAGAAAGATTTTGTAGCACTTGTGGCTCTTCCTCCTGTCACTCAAGGTTATTTGGGTCAGTGGGTCGATGAACACGGCTGCTGTTGGTGATGAGCGCAGTCAATGGTTTCCTTGGACACTGGGAGTTTGTTTACCGAGGTTTTGTTTTGATCTTGTAAACTGCCCAGGGGCATAAAATATAAAATGGGTGACTGCATAGATTACATAAATAAAATGTTATACCAAGGAAGTTATTTCATCTTATCCTGGGTATCCAGTCTTTTGGCTTGCCTGGGCTGCATCGAGTGAGGAGGAATTGTCTTGGGCCACATATAAAATATATAATATAGTTAATATATATAAATCACAAGGTTACAATCTTGTGGGGCTGCAAACTACCTGTCCAGGCTATATGCAGCCTTTGGGATGCAGGATGGACACACCTGATATAGAGCATTATGAACAACTACATTTTTGGATATGGAATTGAGAGGATTAAAGTAATGCAATCTNATATTTCTTATCTGATAATGCCAAAGAAGCAATAAGATGGCTTTTTTTATGGACACTTCTGAGATTGCTATTCAAGATGCAGCAAATGCCTTATCTTCTTTTCCCCCAATCCTAATATTCCATTTTTCCCCTCTTTTTAAAGATGGTGGTGATGTTGCTGTCAGTTGCTTTTGTTACCGAACTCGGTTGGCAAGGCATTGAGATATGAGTTAGAAAAATAGAAGTGGAACTCTTCTGCTGTTTAGGGACGGGCAAATCAAAGCCTGCAAAATGAATGAAAGCATAACATCGGCTGACAATAATAACACAGATGAGGAGGGAAAAGACTTTGCTGACAGCTTTAACCAGCTTGAGCTACTGGAAACCCACCCGCATCTAATCCCTAGAGGAACACAGAGTCTTTGGTCTGGAGACTCTGATGAGGAAGATCAGGAAGAAAAAACAGAGGAATGGTACCAGGCTCAAGAGAAAAAGTTGGCAAATAGCCCAGATAAGCTTCTGCTTTGGGCAGCTGAAAAAAATAGGGTAAGCCAAATGTACTACAGTATATGAAAACTCTGCATGATAAATTCATCTCCCCTATTATTTCCTAGAGAGACTCTAGTTTGACATAAGGGGGCTTTCAAATGACATAAGGTTGGTTTATGCTATAGCCACAGAGATGCTAAGGTCCTTCGAGAGAGGTAAGTGCAAACTACGTATCAATGGTTTACAGGTAGTCCTCGACTTACAACAGTTTGTTTAGTGACCATTTAAAAACGGCACTGAAAAAAGTGAGTTATGACCATTTTTCACACAGCCGTTTTTGTGTCCTTCTGACAAGCAAAGTCGATGGGGAAGCCAGATTCACTTAGCAACCACGTGACTAACTTAACAACTGCAGTTGATTCATTTAACCACTGCGGCAAGAAAGGTGGTGAAATGGAGCAAAACTCACTTAACAAATGTCTTGATTAGCAACAAAAAAGTTGGGCTCGGTTGTGGTCATAAGTCGAGGACCACCTGTAGTTTGACACTGCTGAATTGTTCAGTCATGATGCAAAAGTTTTGTTTGTTTAGCCCAGGGGTAGGCAACCTTGGCTCTTTTATGACTCGTGGACTTCAACTCCCAGAATTCCTGAGTCAGCTACAGGAATTCTGGGAGTTGAAGTCCACGAGTCATAAAAGAGCCAAGATTGCTTACCCTTGGAACTTTAGCCTGAACTAACTGAGGGAGGAATGATGACTTGCTTTACAGAATTCCAGAGATGAAATTTATGAACCCACAGAAATTTCTGAATGAATGGCTGAACTTAGCTCTGCTGGTGAAGGATGTTGGAGATTGTGGTTTAGTGACAAATGGAGGATCATTAGCTTTTCACACACAGCCCTTATTGTCTGTATGCAAGTCCATCATTAGGGTTTAGAAGGCATGGAAAAATAGTTGACTTGCATCTACAGAATCCAAGACAAGTCAGAAATGATTGTGATGCCTTTGGGTAATAAAAGTAATTGCAGTTGGTGCATCAGGCTTCAATATAAATGTTCGTTTGTTCAAAATCTTAAATATCTGAAAGTTCTTCACCGATTGCTTTAAAATTTTGACACAACGTTGCATTCGAATAAGCGCGTGTTTTTATATACCTACTATTATATAGATGTCACACCTGTGACGGGTAAAAACATGTTTTGAAAAACAGTGCCATCTGTTGGACGTAAAAGCAACACACTTCTTTTCCATTTAACCAGACTGAGCCACAGCAATGCTAGTTATGAATATAAAATGTGGTAATTACAGTGGCATGCACAAAGCCAGTCTGGATTGTTTTTAGAATTGTGAACTATGGCAGTGCTGTTTTGTCAAGTAGATTGATCTTTAGGAATGGGATTATGAAAAATTGAGGCATTGATACCTCCAAATAAATGAGAGCAAATGGATAGAGTTGCATTTTACTTGGAGTCAGTGTGAAAGAGTTTGCTTTCTTCCTGGAAACGTCATAATAAAACTGATTGTTAAAAGCAAAAAAAAGCTTGCTCAGTGTATCGTGAACTTTTAGTGAGCAAGTGATCCCCAGTTCTTTCAGAACTAAACTCAATACTCTACAAAGTCCTCTAGATTCTGGGTTCCCCACATCATCTTTGCAAAAATGATGGGTTTTAATGGCATGAATTTCTTTAAAATAAGGGATAATAAGGGCTAGAAATGTTGGTCTTTTCAACTCTGGAGATATTGTATCACCAGTCATTGCTTGTTCTTTGGGAGTCAATGCATTTTAGAGGAAGTGTGGCCTTCATTCAGTGTGCGAAAGTCACTTAATCTTATAGAAAGTTGTCTAAGCTAGTGGACTAACACTGTCTCCATTCCCACAGCTTAGCACGGTGCAAAAGCTCTTGTCTCAAAACCTGGTGTCAATAAATGTCCAGGATGAAGATCAATATACTCCTCTTCACCGCGCTGCCTATAACGGACACATGGAAGTGGTGCGTGAGCTGATTGCTCATGGGGCAGACGTCCACGCATTGACCGTGGATAGCTGGACACCTCTGCACAGTGCGTGCAAATGGAACAACACCAAAATTGCCTCGTTCTTGCTCCAACATGGGGCAAAAGTCAACGCTCAGACCAACGGGTTGCTTACACCTCTGCACTTGGCAGCCGGAAACAGAGAGAGCAAGGAAACCCTCGAACTGTTACTCATGAATCGATACTTAAAGCCCAATCTCAGAAACAACTTGGAAGAGACGGCTTATGACATTGCTCGAAGGACTGACAAATACCATTATTTGTTTGAAATTGTTGAACACTGCACAAATTCTGTCGCAGACTCTTAGGAATTGTATACCTAACACACATGGCCAGAGCTTTTTAAAGAAATCTATTTTGTCATTGCATTCTCAGCTCTTTAGGTCATAACTTAGCAGGTGGCTCAAATGAGGCTCTGTTGAGTAACACTGACATTATTTTTATAAGATAGGTTATGTGTCTATGGAGATTCTCAATCATCCAGGTCATGATTATCCCAAAGGTGCTTTTTTCCAAAAGACAACTGGACTTTCTTGGTCTTTTTTTTTTTTTTCCCCTTGTGAAAACGTTTCGTTTCTCATCCAGGAAGCTTCTTCGGGTCTGAACTTCTTGGATGAGAACGGAAACATTTTCAAAAGAAAAATAAAACCAAGAAACTCTAGTTGCCTTTTGGAAAAGAGCATCTTTGGGACAAGGTAGGCTATGCTACCCTTGTGGAACATTTTCACTTTAACTTGAAAAAAAACATGGTTATTTTGCTGCTGTCCCCATCCATTGTAAATGGAAATCATCACAGAGCCACAAAATAACATGTAAATATTCAGCTGGGAGAAGCAACACTGCTCAAAACATTTGCTGCTGCTTTTTAAGGTATGTGAAGTTTTAATGAGACAACTGGTGACTGATAATTTTCAACAGAAGAACATGGACTTTAAACTATTGCTAAAACCTGGGGTATTCACGGACATATCAAAGATAGCAGCTGCCAAAAAATGGAGCTACCTGGTTAATAATGTGATGTGATTCAGATTTCCAAAATCTACTTCGGTGTCTGTATAAGATATACCTGTATCTAATTCCTTAGTTGCCAAACATTACATTTTGTGTGTCTCAGGTTTTGCTTTTGAAAGTGACGATATGGCTGCCTATGTGTAGAAGCGTTTTGTTTACATTTTTATTGATCGGGTTTCTGAGTCAAGTTACCTGAGTTTTCAGTTATTTTTGAACTTCATGATCAGAATTACCAATTAATATGTCCAATGGTCATGTTGATTGGCAGTTCAGGGAGTTGCAATTGCAGCACATTCAGAAGTCAACAGTTTGGTGAAAGTTGCTTAATAGGCCTTTGCTAAAATCACATTGAGTTATTCAGTTTTTAAAATGGTTTGTGTTCTTTCAGTACCACTGCAGTTCACAAACTCTTAGTAATATTTCAAAGTTATTTTCAGCAGCAGAATACACTACAGCTGACTGGTCCAAAGATTGCTTGGAAGTACCTTATTGTACAACTGCTTGCCTTCTTAAATTATGTTTTGAATTTTTGGAAAACTTTGGGTTCTTGTTCAGAAGTAATCTCTGAAATTTATTCACAGATGCATGAAAAAATCATCATGTGTTTGGTTCACTAGCTCTAAAGATACTTAGGGCTGGTTCACATAATTCTTTGATACACTTGAGGTTGAAAAAAAAATTCTTTGCAATTTCTTTGCATTTTACCAGATAAAAATTACGTAACTCTTTCATGAGATTTTATGTGCATGTACGTGGTGATGTATAGAATGTGAAGCAGCATTTGTGTTTGTGAAGTGAAGAGTGGAAGATATGCTGAGTGTGATACAACTGAGCTTTCTGCTAAAATGGTAAGTTTGTAAGAATACAAGTATCTTTTGCTTCAGTTCAAATTTCTCCTGTGCACTCCGTTTGCTACTTTGAATGCTTTGTGTGAACCAGCCCTGACCTAAAATAAAATCCCTGTAAATATGGGATTTATGTGGTTTGCTGTAGCATGATGTACTTTCACTGTAAAATTAGCTGTTTTGGTTCATTAAAGTTATTTCTGAACAAGTGATTGATGGATGTAACAAATCCAAGCTGTTAATGCCTATGATATTGTAGTATGAAGTCCCAGTTCCGTTAACAACCATGCAAGTTTTATTGGCATTAGAGGAACTCTAACTGCAATTAGATATAACATATTGTAATATAATCCATAGCATATTAGAACTGAATGCCAATACATCGCCTTGATCTTAACTCCTTGGATTTCCAACTACTATATGCCAGAATTGGGAAAATATCATTTTGTTAAAAATTAGAAAATAATGCTAATAGTTGAGGCTTAAATTTTGAAGCAATCACTTATCTTAAGGCACTTCAACGTAATGTTTTATGAACCCTTCTAAATATGTGTTTCCAGTTTGGACATCCTTATCACATTTTATATCCAAGTATCAAATTAAGAGGGTCATCAGACCACTAGTTAAAGTTATACTACAAATTTAAACCAGCACAAAACCCATTGAGGTGCCTCAATTTTTCCAAATAATATTGTTAATTGTTCTATCGAAAAGATATTTCTACATGAAAAAGACTGCTAATTATATCATAAAATGACTCCCAGGATTCTCTAACTCTTAAATTTTCTTTATTGATTTATTTCTCCCGATGATATATATGCCCAATTTATAATTATTCTGAGGAGCTTACAGCAAAATTAAAATCAAATCAATACCTCAGATCTGAAAAACTAAAACTGCTAGCAGCTCTGGATGATCACTCAATTCCATAAAATGCTTCTTAAAAATATCTCTCTGGCTCACTCAACACTTTGACTCAATCTCTGTGGGAACAGCCAAATCTTCTGTGTCTTCAGGGTTTTATTCAGATTTAAAAAGGAATAGCCAGAGGGTGGTGCTCTGAGGAACACGTCAAAGCAGGACTCTCAGCCTCTCTCTCCCTACAAACACTGACTGGAACCGGCTTTGGAAGAAGAACCGCTGCAATACTATGATTCCACTCCTATCCTACATTGGTCCAGAGGGATACCATGATCAATGTACTGATCTCGACGGAAGGAAGCAAGCTCAGGATTCATTTTGCAGGTCCCATCCTGAGGCCTCCAGAGACCATCTGCAACTGTGATCAACGCAGTCTCAATATTATACCCAAATTAACAGATAATCCATTTCTTTCTGGACCTTCTTAGTTGCAGCACAGTTACCTTTTCCACAACTTTCTCTCAAAAGGGGAAGATGGAAACTTTGAAAATTATCCAGTACGGTATAATTAAGTCCAGTGATGGTTTCTTGAGTGAAAATGAACCACCATCTTAAAAGTGCAGATGGGACCACCACCCGCTCAAGAATGAGTTAATAATTGCCTGAACCCAATCCCATGTCATTTTACACAAGTAATATTAATTTCCATGGAAATCTGATCTATTGTGTGCAAAATCCATAGTAATGCGCTCCAAGAAACTCCAGTTTCACAGATAATCTGATAATTATAATTATAATCTGATAATTTCCACCCGTTCATCTTTTTGTTATTATATTGATGTATTTTCATTTTCTTTTACGTTGTTTGTTTTATTCTATTGTTTTACTTCTCGTTTTCACGCTTCATTCCTTATTATTATAAGCTGCCTAGAGTAGCCGCATGGTGAGATAGGCAGCAAATAAATTTCACAAATAAACAAATACCATCTGCTGTCCCTAGTAGTAAAACATCATTGGATCTTTAT